AGTCCGTGAATGCACTGCAATTACAGCAACAAAATTCTATGTTAATGTTCCGCCTCATTTTGAAATTTAAACTGAAGTTTTTAAAGCTGGAGGTATAGAAATGGATGATATATATATATATATATATATATATATATATATATATATATATATATATATATATATATATATATATATATATATATATATATATTTTTTTTACAAAAGTTAATTTTACAAGTGTACGTATTAAATATTGCAAATGTACGTATCAAATTCTTCATTTTCATGTTATTTAGACAAATTTCTGCTTTTTTATGAAAGATCTACATATTTAGCGATATTTACGTTGCAAGAAATATATGTACTTATTTGAAACAAATGGTGGTTTTTAAAGTTTTGTTACAGTTCTGAAGTTTTTTTTTTTTTTTGTGGTTATCCACCGAATTTTATAACAGCGAACTTGCATAAGTCACTTATTAAGTGCAAACTGCCTTAAGTGTGAACTTACAAAAACAAACTTAAAAGTTGCAAAAACTGGCTTAAGTGCGAACTGTAATAAGAGCAAACTGGCGTAAATGGGGACACCAAAATCAATAAAAAGCAAGTATGACAGAATTTTTTTTTCTAAAGGTCCTTTATATTTCAATCTTTTAGAAATTTATAGGTAAAGGACTTTTCTTAATTTCACTTTTTACTTGTTAGTCTAGAGCGGTGACACCAAAAGTTTCACACACTGGGTGACGCCAACCTTATCGGCGCCACTGAGAATTTGGTAACATTGTCATAACAATGAAGCAGTTGCAAAAAATCGAATTGGCATATGTTCAAACTATTTGAGTGTGCCGAAAGAATTTGCAAGCATTTGCATAAGAGCCAATCAGCTTTGCACTTATGACAGGTACGAACTGTCATAAGTGCAAATATATATTTTAAATATATGAAGGGAAAAAATGCTTTTTTCCCTTCATATATTTAAAATTGTGATTTTATTATTAATTGTGCAAAAAGGGAATTTTCATGCATTTTATATCGAAGTTTTGTGCGTTTAGTGGAATACTTATTTTAAATGATAACTTCTTCCCATGATGGCATACTGACAAGTTGGACGTGTTGCAATATTGACGAGTTGAGAAACCTTTTTTTTTTTTATAAGAAAATCTTATTTTTAAGTAAAGTAAAAAGAAAGCGATGCTCCAAAATTTTGTTATTTGGTCCAAAAAATACCTAAAACGCAATATATTCTATGCGCATGCGCGAAACTTTACTATGCTGCTGTGTAGCATGATGGTAAATTAGGATGGTTCCGAGTAATTTCTGGTTTTTCTGAGGGAAGACTCTAAGGTTAAATGAAATCATCAAGTTACCCTTGATCCTAAGCAGCTCCATCCTCCCCCATACCATCATAGGAGCAGTGGTTGCCTATGATGGCATACTTGTGCTTTTTTTTAAAATAGGAATAACTTATAAAAAAAACAAAACTGATGAAAACTCCGAGGGTTATTATTGTTCTACATGTAACAAGGAATGTATCTATATCAAAACTTTTATTATTGGTCTTCAGGATACTGAATAATGAAGCTTCAAAGTTAAGTATGCCATCATAGGCGCCTTTTCCCTACATTTAAAAGTAATTCTTTTTTTTTTTTCTTACATAAAATTATATATTATGTAAAACTTAATTTCTAAAGATTAAGCGTAAGCGTGTGGTTACTAAAGATTAGTTTTTTTAATGCGTAATTGCTACTTGAAAAGGTAATTTATTTTTACAAGTAAAATTATTTTGCAATAAAAAATTGATTACCTTTACTTGCAAATGTAATTTACTTTTAATGATAAGTTGTGTTAAGTAATTTACTTTAAAAAATAAACTCGGTTTTAATTATGTAAGAAATTTACATTGAAATGTTTGAAATGAAAATATGAAATGAAAATGAAAATATTTTTCATATGTAAAAAGTAAATATAATATTTAAAAAACATAGCATTTACTATAAAAAGTAACATAAAACTACATAAAAAAAAGCTTTTATGTTTAAAAGTAACTAATTAACAAGACAACTAACATAAAAGTAATTTGAAAAAAATGGTTATTTTTTGTTTGAAGTTTATATTTACAAATAAAAGTAATTTTTGTTTTTGAAATTGTATACTTTACTATGAAAGTAGAAAACAAATATTATTTATCTCTTTAAGGAACAGTTATTTCATGTTAGTTTAACATAATTTTTTAATGTTGCGTATTCAAAACCATTGTGCTGTTTGTGGGCGCTTCTTGGTAATACTTCAGGTATTACTCTGATGTGTGTGGTAAGGCATTGTGAAAGGATTTCTTTTCACGTATATCATGAAGGGTAAGTGACAGCCACAGTGCAAATAGGGGAAAGGGCTTCAAAATAATCATTAATATTTTGTTTTATTTTTTTGTTGAACAAAAAAATACGGTTAATGGCCGTATTTTTTTGTTGAGCAGAATTAGGTTAATGGCCATGAAACATTGACGCGAGGGAGTTGTGGTGGGCATAATTTCTTGCAACGCTACTGGTTGCTACCCATGCATGCAAACATTGACTAAGTCACTGTTCCATTAAAGCTTTTTCTACGGTTTTTTTTTTTTTGTATTTTCCTTTTTGAGCAAATATTTTTTTATGGTAGTATGACACAGTATAACATGTTTGGTATCAGCGGGGATTTCGACTGCTAAAACAGTTTTCAAAAAATTATAACTTATAATTTATAAATTACTTACATTTATATAAAAAAACTCCTTTATCAGATAGATTAAATGAGATAGTTTACGTGACTTATATCATAAGTGATGTAAACTGTCTCGTATAATCTATCTGATAAAAGTCATATCTGATAAAAGTCGTATCACTATAGGTTGTGGACACTCCAATAACCTTCTTTTCATAGCGTTAGTGTCCAAACCTACCAAGAAAAATTAGAGAAACAAAATTTTATTCAATTAAAATAGTGTTTAAGAAAAAACATTAATTTTTTTCAATTGTTTATTTTACTTCACGAGTTGTTTGTCGGTTATCAGTTGTCCCGGAATCTTGCAATTGATATTTCACTATCTTCCAGACTAGCTAGAGCTCTGAAACTTTCAGTATTTGCGTGGTCTCGATGAACATCGGTGTCAAAATTGTTTCCTGGGAAAGGGGGTCGTGCCCCAATTTTTTTTCTCAGATATATACATTTTTTCTTCAAAGTTAATATATTATTTTTTAAAAAGAAAGACTTTTTACAAGATAGCTTATTAAAATGCATTTTTTTGATTAACTTGTTTTTGTATTCACTTTTATTTTTTCATTTTATTCAAGTTTTGCTTATACTAGCCTTGCGGGGGTTAGGCCACTGATACTACATGCAAATAAAGACTTTCATATAAAAAGTTTTAAATTTTTCATGCCCTTACAAATTACCGTATACATTATTTTAAGGGCATAAAAAATTTAATTTAATTTAGTTTTTAAGAGTCTTAGTCTGAACAACATAGTTGTTTGCTATATTCTGAACTGAAAATAGCTGTTTAAACAAAAACTTTTAGAGACTGACAAACAAAGATTAGGATATATTTGAGCAGATAGGTATTTTGTGTACCGAAGTGGCAAAAAAATCTTTCAAAAATAAAACGTTCTTTTAAAAAGTTCGAAGCTCTATAAATCTGTGGGGCATGGGATTATAGTCCCCATAATCCGGATCTGGTTTAAACTTTTCTTACTTAGTTTTTAAATAATAAAAATGTTTAGGCAAAAAATTTGTAAAGAAAGACTAACCATTATGCCTTTTTTTTTTCAAATGGTCTGCTCTTTCTGAGTCTCTTGTCTGTGAATGCGCCTTCAATTCACTGCCATATTTCAACTTTGTTTGAATTCCAGACCTTTCGAACGGTTGGCTAGGGATTGAACATTTTAGAGACGATTTGATTCAAAGAATAGATTATATAGCTAAAACTATCATGGACCGGGACCAGAGATGGTTTTAACCATTTAGAAACCTATTGTTGATATTTTCAAACTTTGGGAAGAAATACCTAAAACCGCGCAGACCAAAAGTAGAGGTTAGTTACTAAAAGTTTTACTTTTTTCCATTACTGTTGACCTAAATCATCTTAAAGTTATTGTAGAATATAAGTAAATTTACTTATTAGATATAGAGTGCTTTTAATTTACTTTAGAAATTGTATAAAATGAAAGCTTAAGTAATTTAAATTTCATTTCATATAATTTATTTTTAATAACAATTTGTTATTAATTATAAAATAAAAAATGCTTAATTAAAAAATGTTATTTTATTTGTAAACTTAATTTACATTTGGTAGCTAACTTTTATGAAATTCATTTTCATATGTAAGTTTTTTTTTACAGTTACGGTAATAAAATTTTTTTCTAAATATTTAAAAAGTAGCTTTTAAATTTCAAAGTAAACAGCTTTTTTATGTGATTTACTTTTACGTGTAAAAGTAAATTACTATTTGATGTAATCGACTTTTACATGACTTACTTTCGAAAGTAAAAAAATTACATTTTAAAGAAAAAGTCGTTTCAAAAAAATTAATTACTTATACTTATATTATATAATTATAATATAAATGTATATAATATATTATAAATATAAATTTAATTAAAACGTTTAAAAGTCATGTAATTTACTTCTTTATAAAAATTAACTTAGTGTGTAAGTAAAAAAAAAAAATTTGCATTTATAAAAGTTCCCATGCTAATTCCCATTTTTAGTAATTTTTGCAAATTCATTCGGCGGCTCATGTGAGTTTGCATTTATGCCAGTTTGCGCTTATGCCAGTTTTAGCACAGTTCACGCTTAAACCAATTTGCTCTTATACCAATGTTTGCAAATTCTTTCGGTGCTCCTATGCCAATTTGCACTTATGCCAGTGTTTGTAACAGCTTCGCACCACGGCCTGGTCGCACTTAAAAATCGCACATTTTCAGCCTTCCGATTCCGATTAATTGAGTCTAATTGAGTTTCATTAACTTCATTAATCTATGTTTCACTTTCGTTTTCGTTCGTTTTAAACGTGTTTATTTTTAACTTCCTCAGACGTTGAAAAATGAGCGCGATGCAAAAAACAAATTCTGCTTTCTGCTTCACAAAAGTTTATATCATATTGTTAATAATTGTATCACTACAAATAGCTATTTGCGTATGGGTTGGAAGACTGCAACAAAATCTCAACGAGACAAAACAATCTTTAATGAACACATATGGTGAATATCGTTTTCAAAAAGGTTTTGTTAAAAACGAAGTAAGAACATACATGTCTAGCATAAGTTGTTTTTGTGAAAGGAAACTTTAATATTTGTTTTCATATTTTTTTCGCATTTTCACTTTTGTTTTATTTTTTATTTTTTTTTATTTCAGAGTCGTACAATGTCACTGAAGCAAGTTCAAGGTAAAATATAAATTAAAATACAAATGAAATTACTCGTCTAAAGTAAAGCAAAAGTAGAGCAGTCTAATTTAATCTCTTACATTGTATTAGTCTATCTTAGAATGTTCTACTTTTGTTTTTCTTCTAATATTTTCTTTAGTTTTTTTACTTTTGTTTGGTTTGAAAAATACGGAGAAAATGCAGTATAAAGACTATTGGATATTAAATATTTGTTAATAAAGTTGTGTGTTATTAGTTTTCCAACCATAAAACCTCTTAAGATTTTAAAAACAACACTTTGTTTTTTCTCATTTTCTAATTAGAAAATTAGAAAAGACATAGGGTTAATCTAGTTTTTTTCTTTGTTTAAAAAGTGTGTTATTTACATAGGAGTATCTTTGTGATATTTTATTTATATATATATTTTTTTTCTTCAGATAAGACTCAAAGGAAAAATAAAAGTAATAAGGTAAAATAATATTTAACTAATAATAATCACACATAAAAAAAACTATGATTACAAGCTGCAAATAATGTTTAAAGTATAATTCATTTAAACTTAAACAGGTTAAGAATATGGGTAAGGTATTGGTGACGGATTGGAAAAAAGAAAAATAATATATGCATTATGATTCAAAATAATTTCTAAAACAAAATATATTATAGAATAGTTTAATTATAAATATTATTAATATAAAATAAATTATAAATATTTATTATATAATTATAAATATTTATTAAATATCCTTTTGTGTAATATAACATCTAATAAACTTTTAAAAAAGTCATAGTTATTTTTTTTATTTGCAGATTAAAGAAGTTATTGTGTTGGCTCCATTAAAAGAGTTTTATAAGGATTATGTAATATTTAATGGTAATTTTTTTTTTTTTTTTTTTAAATAGTCAATTTTTTAATTCATTTTTAAAGATAGATACATTTTTTAGTAATTATATTAACTATATTTAATTTAGAAACAATTTCTATATGGCAAGTTGATGAAATTTCTGGATCATTATCTTTGCACGAAAATGCTTACGTAGAAATTGGTGTTGATGGATTTTATCAAATTAACGCAATGGTATTTATATTTCTCTTATAGATTTAGATCTGCATGAAACATGATGATGTCATAAATGAATGTCTTCTAAATAGTATCATGCAAACTTAAATCTGTGGTAATAAATGTGACTGTGGAATAAGGTTAATGTATTATTATTATAGTTATTTAAGAAAAAAATGGCAAGTTTTTTTTCCTATATAATCTTAATAAATTCTCAAAAAATAAAAAATGTAAAAATCTTTGACATTGTTTTTTTCATACATTATTTTTTTCTAAAAAACTAAATCCTGACCCTTAAAGCTAAAATGTGTTAAATTTAATGGTATCATAATCATCGATAAATTGAATTTAATGGCATCATAATCATCCAAAAGTTAAATTTAATGGTATCATAATCATCCATAAGATCATCCATAAAATCTTAATGGTATCCTAATTATTCATAAGTTAAATTAAAAAATATAAAAACTAATAGCTTTGACTGCAGTGTCTTCCTTGTTCTTTGTAAAGTTAACATATACAGTAACAAAGTAACAATACTGACATATGAGTTTATTGTCGCAACACAAAACTTTAAAAGAGAAATTTTAGTGAAAATTTTGTTTAAAAATCTGCTAATATATGACAAAATCAACAGCAATTAGGTTTTACTTGTTTATATTTATTGTTTTACCTATTTAATGTTGATTTGTTAGTCTTTTTTGTATTTATTGTTGATTTGTTAGTATTTTTTTGTATTTTTACTTGTTAAATCCTATTTGTTATTTATTTTTACTTGTTAAAACTTATATATTGTTAATTTGTTGTTTTTACTTGTTAAAACCTGTTTATTTAAAATCTTAATTAATTTTATTGTTCTCTAAAATCTGAACAAAGTTATAAATTATGTTATCCAATTTAAAATCTGAACAAAGTTATAAATTATGTTATCAAATTTAAAAGTTGAACAAAGTTATAAATTTTGTTATCAAATTTAAAATCTGAACAAAGTTATAAATTATGTTATCAAATTTAAAAGTTGGCTTAAGTAAAACTATCATCTTTAATTAAAAAAGACAAATGACAAAGTTGATTTTTTTTATGGAACACATTAACTCAAGAATAAAAATTAATAAGAAAATTTAATTGTAATTTAATTATGATAAAAACAAAATTTAATTTTTGTTATTATGGGAGCCATGAGATTTTGCTTTAGGTGAGACTTGTACTCTGTGGTCGTTTTACCCCACTTCTTTTAAAGTCAATACTTTATTTTGGGTCAATAAACTTCTCACATATTTTGATAATTGAAAATTGCAATTGATAATTGCCCAATATTGCTCAAATGGATAAAGTTCAGGACAGTTTGCAGGGTTGTGTATTCTAGGCTTGAAATAGATACAATTGCTTTGTTTAAAGTTAAATGCAGATTGTTCGAATTGTTGTCGCTTCCAAACTTTCTCTTCATTGTATCAAGTGTCAAAAATTTGTTCAAAGTTCTAATCACAGTACTTTTAGAACATTCAACAGTTTTTACAATTTGAGAGTCAAATCAGGATTTTCCACTGGAGCATGCAAAATTGCATCACACACTTGTTGCTGTTTTGTTGTTATTTTGAATAATAATAAAATTTTTCTAAATTTAACTTAACCCAAGCATTTTATTTATTACAGTATTATAATGCTGTAATAAATAAAATGCTGTAACATGTGTATTTATTGGTAGTTTTATAAAATTATTTATTTTATTATTTATTCTATAAAATACTTATAAAACTAATTTTAGTTGCGGTTAAAACCGGGACAACCAGTTAAAGAGTTTTACAGCTATTACCTGTGTAAAAACAAGAGTATTCTTGCTTCTACAACATTTACCTCAAGCCAAAGTACAGGTATTATTAATATTGTTACACAAGCACAAAAGGGTGATCGCTTGTTTCTCTCCAATCCCTGGAAAGGATTAAGTTGGTTTGTAAAAAAAGAAGTTACATTTTTTAGTATTCATCATATCTAGTAATTACCAAACAATTTTTATGGTAAAGTTATTAATTTTTTTAAAATTGTTTAAATCTTTCATATACTTGTAATATAATTTTTTATAGCATTTAAAATAAAACATTTTGTTATATATTCTTTTATAGCATATGTGCTAATTTCTTATTCCATTTTATATATTTTCTCATATCATCATATAAATTTATGTTTTTACATTTTTTAACTTTAAGTTTGTTAAATAAACGTGTTTGTACAAATGTTAATAGTGTTAAATTTTTTTAAATATAAAATTGTTAATTAATTATATAAATAACTAATTATAAAAGTATTAATGAGTATAAATACATTAAAGTTTTTCAATCTTTCGTTATGGGTTGTCTATAAAATAACACGTTTAAAGGGAAGGGGTGTGCTTAGAGATGTGTGATAAAGTTTGTAACAAGGGAGAGTTCCAGTCATACGTGATGTCGCCCTCTATAAGTCAAAAAAATCATTAAATTATTAAAAAGTAGTGATAAAATAATCTTATTTATAATGTTTTTTTAATTGTTAAAATTTTGCTTAAAAAACTTTATAAACACAATACAATTTATTTTACATTTAATAATTTTCAAGTTACGTGTGATTTTTACTTTTACTCGAGTGTTAATTACTTAATTATGCAGCGGTATTAATTACTTTAATGCAGCGGTGAGCGATTTGTATTGGCCTGTTGTCTGATTCTGAATAGCTTAAGTGTTTTTTAATCATTAGAAAAGTGAAACATGAAAATGTACATGAGTAAAACATTTGGCGAACAAAAAAAAATGAATTAAAATAAATAAAGATGTTGACAGCATTCTTTAGCAGGTTATATGCCATATCAGGGAAAAGTTAGGGAATTCAGATATCTGCAAAAAAAATCAGGGGATCAGGGAAATTAGGTTGAATATCAGGGAAATTAGGTTGAATTTTAGAAAAATCAGGGAAAATGGCTCTTCATCAAATTTACATAACTTAAGTTGTATATTGAACACGTAATAAAATTTAAAGATAGTTTTATGAACTTCTCTTGATACATTTAATGTGGGTTGTGTTATTGTTTATATTTTTGCAGTTAAAGAGCATTTTTCTAAACGAATCTAGGTCAGTTTTTGTGAAGTTGAGTTTCGATGACTTTAAATTAAATCAGTGAAAACAGGTAGAAAATCAGAGAAATCCACCTTAAAATATTGTCAGACACCCTGTTTAAAATATTGTCAGACACCCTGTTTAAAGAAAAACCACTCAGTATTTTTTTCAAAAGTGTAGCATTTAAAAAATTATCAAATGTTTCAAATTCTAGTATACCAAATGTGAAGTTTTATCACAAAATGCGGTACTCCGATGCCATCGTAACTAAGGAAAAAGTGAAATTAGTTTCTATGGCAGAGATTCCAGTATATTATTTTTCTTCATTTTGCTGTTTATAAATCAACAAAAAAAAATTAACTCTGTAGAACGAAAGAGACAGTATACTTGTCACTGCAGTGGCGCAACCAGGGAGGGATCTGTACCCCCACTCAAATTTTTTAAACCTTACCCTAACCAAACTGAATAGAGACTCGCAGAAAACCTTCAGGTCTTATCACCGAGAACCGCTCGTGAATATTAAGTACATTAAATTAACAGGAAGAATAAAATCAAAAAAACAAAACAATGTCGTAGTAAAAGTTCGTAATAACTAGCGAGAACGTAAATTTCGTAGTAATATATAAATAAAATTGGAATAAATTTTTTTTGATACTCATATATAAATTCAAAAATATTTTAAAAAGTACTCCTTTCATAAACACATAAGTTGTGGATCAGATATAATATTTATATATTACCTTATGTAATAAACTTCATATTCATTTTTAGAAGAATTTAAAAATATAAAAACATGTCTTCAAAAGATAAAACAATTTCTTTTAGTTTTTTCTTGAATGAAAGATAATTCCATTCATGGGAAAAATCAAATCATTTTTTAAAACTATTTTGTTCCTAAGAAAAGCTCCTCGATATAAAATACATGTCTTTCCAATATTAGTTAAAGATAAAGGTTGCCGAATTAGATTATCAGTTCTTAAGTTATATTTATTTTTATCTTTCAAGGTATATAGATTATGAAAAGAAACTGGAGATTCGTTGGTTTTACACTTAAACATAAAACAAAGTATATTAAAAATATTTAGCTGATAAGTATTAAGAATTTTCATTTGAAATAATAATGGTTTGGCATAAGCAAATAGATCTTTATATTTTAATTTTGAAGCATCGATTATATTTGATTTTAAAATATATTAAATGTGAAATAGGTTCAGCTACATCAGGTGACATAAGATTAAACAGAATAAAGAACATTTTGCATTCTAGAATGCAAAAATCACTTAAAAATTCTAGTATTTCTAGAATTTTTAAGTGATTTTTAACCGCTCTGCAGCCGTATTCTCCGTTAAGGTGGTAAACTGGCATTATTTTTATTTGCTTATATTTCACTCATAATAAATACCTTTGATGAATTACTAGCCTATTAGATAAAAAACTGCTGACTCAGCAAAAAAAAGTGAAAAAGTTAACGTCTCAAGAAAATAGATATCTTAAGATAACATCAATATTAAATATTATTTAAGCGATAAAACACTCAGCTGATAATGTAATTGCAGTTCTTTTTTTTTTTTTTTTTTAGGTCTAACCACTAAAAACTTTAATAATGAAAATTTGAAGATAAAATAATAATTTTTTATTGAGATATCATTGTTTTCCTACAGTTACTCGTAAAAAAACAACTGAGAAAAATCAATTTTAAAATTAAAAGTCACACTACTCAGATCAATCATCAAAACCAGCACAAAAATCTTTTGCAGCATTATTTAAAAAAAAAGGATATTTCCTATTAAATTTTACAAGATTTAATTGTCTTAATAAAATTTTTTCAAGCTATTCATTTTTTTTCCAATTTTTACCAAAATACCTGAATACCACCTTAAACTCACTTAGAATTTTAGTGACCGTTAAGAAAAAAAAACTCTAAACGGCCGGTTTTAAAACAGACAAAGGAAATGGTATTAAAGTGTGTAAAACTTTGTTCAAAAAGTTTTATAAACACAGTATGATCCTTACATTTGATAATTTATCTTCATGTTTCGTGCTATTTTTACGTGGTTTCGTATATTAAGGGGCTACCCCCCTCTGTTTTTAAATCTAAGTATTTTAAAAAAAAAATGTTATGGGTTTCTAGGTTTTAGTAAAATATAAACCTTTTTATAAAAAAAATTAAAAAAAAATTGGTTTCCTTGGTAACCAAAAAATACCCCTAAAATGACCAAAAAATAACTTCACGCTGGCCAAAATATAAGAATATGTGTACATATTTACCTTTTAAAATTTTAATACATTATTATCATAAAGTAGGGCTGTGAAATGAATTGATCAGATTTTTCATAACATTTTGCCATCATCAAAATGGCGCAATCAAAGATCATGGTCAAAATTTTCATCGATTTTAGGTCATATATATATATTTTTAAAAAAATATTTAAATTCCAATCCATTCATTTCACAGAGTATAATATGATAAACACTTCCTGAAAATTTCATACAAAAATGTAATACGGTTCTCCAGATAATTGCCGGCGTGCACAAATTTCTATTTAGAGAAAAAGACAATTTAAGTTAAAATTTTTGAAAACAATACAATTTTTTTTATAAAAACTGTTGAAAAATAAACAAAGTTTTCAAAATCCACCAGGAACATACAAGTCACCTTCTTTTTCAATTATTTTCTCATTCTTCTTCAGTTTCTTGGCACGTAATACTTGCCTTTTTAACTTTTTAACAGGGTTCATTCTAATTTCTGCTTTTTGTAATCTTTCATTATTTAATGATTTGCATCCTGCAATCATATGAAAGCCTGGTTCCATGTCCAGTAGCTTCAAAATATCAATAGATGCTTTTGCTCCAATATTAAAATTGGCAACAGCATCATATACACCAATTGTTAATTGGGTAAGTGATACGAATGTTCATTTTGGTATACGCTTCCAAATCATTCCATAAAAAGACTCATTGGCATTTTGTGTCTTACCGTGCAAACATTTTTGTAACTCAATGTCTTTCCTTAAATCCTTAAATATAGTTCTTACTTTCATTATGACATCCATTGGTAAACCCGGTTCCGGCTTATAGGTTGATGTCTTATTTATTTTATTGGCATTGTATTTGCACCAGTGAGGCAGTGTGGGAAATGTAAGCTATTATTTTTTGAGGAAGCAACATGAAATAGTGATGCCAACACCAGTTGGATCAGATTTTTGGAGGCTTTGAGTTAAATTACAACCTTTACAATATCTGGACATGATTTCAACATTTAAAATTTTGCCACTAGCAGTAGAGATGGCAGAAAAGACTCCGTTGAGTGATGAGTATCCTCGTTTTTGCCATGTTCCATCGCAAGATAAACAAATATTGGTTACTTTCAAAGCTGTATTTTGCAATTTATTAGCAGCATTTAACATTGTTCGTTCTGCTACATTTTTAACAGATTTTGAAATTACTTTTATCAGTTTTTCAAAATTGTTTTTGGTCATTGGCTTAGGTAGATTCATAATGGTACAAAATTTTTTGATGCCTGCATATCCATGACCCAATAATTGCATACAATAAATTACTTGTTTATTGATATCAAATCCTTTTATATTTGTCATAGTTAGAAGTGTAGAACTTTTGAAAATGGTTACAAGCTCTTTTCATACACTTAAGATATAGTAAGGATGATAAACAACGTCGTTGAGTATCTCTCTCTCTTAGTGAGATTGTTGAACAACCACACTCTGGACACAAAACAGAACTTAAAATAGACATTAAAACAGCAACATAAATTATAAGATAACCAGATATGGCAGGTTTTGAAATAATTTTATCTTTTAAGTTTTCGATTTTATGAGCTGAAGCTGATAAATTAGGTGGATTTTCAAAAATTGGTTCAGTAACACAAGTGATGTTAGGGGCACTTGGATTTATTGTCGGTAATTCGATATTAGTACTATCAGATACAATAACAGTATTAACAGAATTTTGAACATTTCCCATAAACCTTTTCCTTTTTTTATGAGTTTGTGTACATTTCTTAACTCGACAAGCTTTTCCCATTTTTACTAATTAAACTAACCTAATAAAATCGGGTAGGTACAATCGGCAGAGCAGAGCAGATTGGCAGAGCAGATCATTGAAATGTTAATAACGGCAGAGCAGATTATTCAATCAGCCGTTTCCTAAAGTGTGATCTGCCAAATAATTCGGCAGATCATATAACAGAATTTTTATAATGTGATTGCCAAATATTTTTATGAAAAACGATGCACTTCGAATAGACAGAACTATGAGCTGACTTTTTAAACATAAACGTTTTTTGTTGTCGCAATATTTTCCAAAAAAAAAGTGATCTGCCGTATTCTAATGTGTGATCTGCCAAATATTTTGGCAGATCATAATGCAACCGGCAGAGCAGATTGGCAGAGCAGATCATTGTAATAATAATAATGGCAGAGCAGATTATCACAGACAGACAACGAGCCGTTTTCTATTTTGTGATCTGCAAATTTATATTTTGATAATGCGTGATCTGCCAAATAATACTTGAATAATGTGTGATCTGCCAAATAATATTTGGCAGATCACTAGAAATATTTGGCAGATCATTAGAAAACGGCTGATTGGATAATCTGCTCTGCCGCTATTAACATTACAATGATCTGCTCTGCCAATCTGCTCTGCCGATTGTACCTACCCAATAAAATCTCAAGAACTGACTGAACTGAAGAATATTGTCGTACTTGATGTACCAAGGCATTGGTAAATTCCAGAAAAACGCATCAAGAAGTTGTTCAAGCTTATGCATTGCAAGTGTAACACTATTTTGGATGAAATTAAGGTAAAAGTATGGTGTATAAAAGTTTAAGTGCGTTGCTATGGCGTTGCTAAGGAAATTACTTAAGAGGTGGTTAACTTAAATAGACAATTTAAGATAGTTAAAGATTAATCTGATACATCCAAAATAAATTTTATGATTCTGCATAGTTTGAAAGAGTTAAAATTAAAAAAAAAAAAAATTGAAAATTTTGTAATTTTATGGGGGGATAGCCCCTTAATTGTTCCAATAATTTTTTCATTAAAAATTCCTCTGTTAGCCAGCTCTTTTAACTAGTTTTCGTACTGTTTTTCTCATCACATCTAAACGTTGCGATGCCAACAGACGATGATTTTATTAATTCAGGTCGTATAAATTTGTATTTAATGGTTGTTATATACGGAAGTGTTTCTACAAAATATAGAAAGAAAAGCCCTTAATATAGCTTTATTTATACATGTGAATCAAAAACTTTAAGATATGTAGACGGTTGTCACGCTCGCTTTAACTCAATAAAACTACAAATGTTTCTAAATATCCTAAACGAACAAAATCCTGCCATAAAATAGACTGTTGAACACAAAAGCCACCAAAAAACAACTTAATTTTCTAGATGTTAATATAACAAATACAATCCATGGAGCTTATGAATTTCAAATACATCGAAAAGAAGCAATAACTAATATTCAACTTAAACCAAACTCAAACATCAATCCTAATATTACCACATAACACGGGCTTACTTTGGCCATTTTTAAAAAGTTTAATTAAACATCTGAAACTTTTAACGTTACTTTACTGTTTAAAAGTTACTGATGTTTAATTAAAATTTTTAAAAATGGCCGATGTGTTACGGTATTCAAAGGGTTTTTATGCCGTGCAAAAAGAATATGCTCTCAAAAATACTTCCAACAAGCAATTGATTTTATAATAAAAATATTTTTTGAAACGGGCATGACATGAACAGTTTAGCTAATATATAAAAATAGATTTAATACTAATTATCAACCAACTGACAAACAACCATTTATGAAGCTACTTTAGATACCATTTGTTGGTCCCAAACTTAGAAAAGAATTTAAAAACAAAACATAAAAACTATATTCACACCAGCTCCAAATTTAAAAAACATATTCTGCAACAATAAAACAAAACTTCCTTCAAATATAAACCCAGGCGTAGGGCCGTCCCGAAAGGGGGTGTAGGGGTGTCTCCCCCCTCATAAAGCTGTCATATAAGCATTTGAGTTGGTACATTGAGCAATTTTTAAACTATAGTTGGCAAATTGCTAATATTGAAGACCTTTTTTTTATTTTGGTAACTTTAGTAGGTAAAAATACATATACCTCTTCCCCCCCTCACCCCATGAAAGATCACTTTAGGACGGCCCTGCCCAGGCGTCTAACGAATAAAATGTTCATTCAACTCTATATACATTGGTGAAACCAAAAAGAAATTTATATCAAGATGTATTGAGTACCAGAAAATAGTATGAAAGGAAAATTATCAGTTCGGGTACTACTGCTACTGCTACTGAAAATTCCAAATTATGCCAAGGTACGTTTGACTGGTTTCATCCGAAAACCTTACCAAAACATCATACTCAAAAAGTTCGAGAATCACTGGAAAAAAACAAAGCTAAAATTCGACAGGAGTTGGGAAGTGGCAAAAATCGGGACGATGATGATAATGTGAGAACAAAAACTTGGGGGCCATTTTTGATTAGATTATCTGACGTCAACAATCCTATTTTGTATTTTTTGTATTTGGGTTTTTTTTATTATAACGATTTTCTTTGTAACAATTTTTATTTATTATACCTGGTGACGCTCAATTAATCAATCAATCCATATATTTTGATAAAACATTTTACAATCGAGGTAATTTACGAATAGTTAAAAACTAATCTAATAAATACCATAAAATAATATTAATAGTACAAATAATAATGACCATAATAATGATGATAAACTAACAATTATAAAAATAATAAGAAAATTATATAATAATAAGAAAGAGATCCAGGGTTCAAAGCGAGCTCTGTTTATATTTAGCGCCATTGGTAAGGAAGAAGGCGTGAACTTCCTAGTTAAATGCTCTTCCACGGTGCTCTGTGACAAGACCTCCTTGGGGCGTCTGAAACAAAAAAAATGTGGCTCTTCGTTTATTTATGCTTGAATTATATGCCCGACTGCCGAGAATACAGCATATTTTTGAAACGTAAACACTGAGAAATAAAAAAATTTCTATAAATTTTATCGAGTTATAGCAGTTGTAATCAATAGATATTTTCTTATAATACCTTGGTACATTTAATATTCTAAAGTAAACATCAAATATTGGATACCAATATCAATAACAATTAAAAAAAGCAGATCAAAATATTAAATTAAAACAAATTGAAATACAAAAAATATAGCTAAATTATTTAATAAAATAGTAACCTAATTGGAACTATTATTAACAAACATATAAATATAGTTTTATAATTTGTTTTTAACATTAGTAATATTTTTGAAAAACTGGGAATTTTAAATACTGGGAATATTTTTATAAATTTAATATCAATTTTTTATCTTTTTAATATCAGTTTTAATATCATTTGCAGTAGTTAAAATATTAGTTAACAGGTAATGTGATTTTTGTATCATATTTTCGCAAAACAAAATTTATCGTAGTAGGATTTTTACAGCAGGAGATTCAGTTGGCAAAAACAAATATCATCTTTAATTTTTTAAGTTAAAATCACTTTTTGGCAAAATTCGTTTAATAAGGTGTCTAAGATATTGAAATCAAAGGTTAAAATCATGATTTTGTGAGCATAAGAAAATTATCTTAAAAATAAATACATTTTAAGGTAAAAAATTATTTTATAACTTATAGAATTGTTGACTTATAGTATAAGTCAATAATTATCTGGTTTCGAAATTTCCTTTTTTTCATACCAAAAATTAAAGATTTTTTTTTATCATACTTAAAATTTGTAATAGTTTAAAGAATTCTCAATTATTTTCAATTTTTGATCAACAATCAAGTCATGGATTAAAAAACTTTTAAAAAAATATTTCAACCTGTTGGATGTAAATTGGAGATATTTTTTATGAATAAAAATATGTCTAACCTGTTTACCTAATTAATACAAGTTAATTATTTATTAATTTTTTTTGATAGTAAAACTGTAGAGCAAAAGAAAAAGTATATAAAATTATATAAATTAAAATTTTTAGCAGTTAATTTTAATATGTTATTTTTTATGCATTTCCTAATAATTAGCTGTTATAGTGAAATTAAAACTTACAAAAATTACAAATTGAAAATTATAATTTTAGTAACTTGTTAAAATAATACATCATCAAAATGTTACAAAATACTTACATAATCTTTGGTAGTTTGTATCTTTCTATATAAAGTTGCTGTATAATACAGAAAATTGGTATTAGTTATGGAACCTAGTATATTAAAAATTTCTAGGTAAAAAAGTTTTATATTTATATTTAATTTATACTAGTAATCATTTTTTATCTTGCAAACTTTTGTGGCTTTGAGACTCAAGCCAAAGTTTAACTTAATGATCTTCTAAGAAGTTTTAATGATGCTTTTTTTTTTTTTTTTAATTATAAACACTTTTAAAATAGATCTAGTATACTAGAATTTTCTTTAATCTTTTAAAAAAATTGGGTTGATGCATTTTGCCCTGTTACTCACTTTTATAAAATCTTTTTATACTGTACTGAAGAGTACCTTTGATGTAATTAAGGGCTAAAATGTTATTAAATATTATTTAAAAGTGAAGAAAAATTAGTACCAGTACCCAAGTTATAATCCAGTAAAACAATGTTCTTTTAACTTATAAGTTTTCAACTATTTCTGTTCTTGAGGAACAGAAATAGTTAAAAATATAAAATAACAGATTTTAAGTTAGATTTTACAAGTTATAAGTTCTAGAGAGTTTTGTTTGGGTTTCTTTATGTTTATTGCTTATATAAGCAATTTGTCAAACAAGTTAGTTACTGATATTTTATTTACTGTTAAAGTGCAGTTTAGCTAGGTTCCTTATTTTTCATGTATATAGTTGATACTAAATCTATTTATTAGTTTAGCACACTGTTTAATGGTTTAATTACTTTCAATTTCAAAATTTTTTAAAGTATTTTTTAAACAAGAAAATTCTTTATAACAAGGCAAGAATAAATGATCATGAATAGGGCAGTTTTTATTCTCCAAGATTTTTACTGGATGCCATTAAATCCTTGGCTTTGCCATAAGACTGAGAATTTTTGTCTTAGTCCTCATAGGCAAATTTTAAAAAATACTAACAAAAATTCTTAGTCTTATGGCAAAGCCAAGGATTTAATGGCATCCAGTAAAAATCTTGGAGAATAAAAACTGTCCTATTCATGATCATTTATTCTTGCCTTGTTATAAAGAATTTTCTTGTTTAAAAAATACTTTAAAAAATTTCAAGAATATTCTTGAATTAAAATCTCTAAATGGAACTAAGTTAGAATGATAAAATTTGTTTTACACATTTTTCTTCATCAGTTCTGCCAAGCACATTATTTGACGTCAACAATGTGTTCACATATGGGCTGCATGTCAGACTCAAAGCTGGAAATTTCAATGTTTTTTAAATGCAAATATGATTTGTAAACTAAATATATAAAACAACTGTTTTCAAAATAACTTTTTAAATCTATAAATAATCATTTGAGGCTTGGAACATGTAACCTTGGTCTTTGTCTTGTGGCTGTGGTCTTACTTGTGGCTGTGGTCTTGTTTCAATTTGGATGTTATTAATCTAATGCCTAATATTGGCTAATATTTTAAATTACCACTAATATAATTGCAATATTTGTATTCCTTCATAATATTTGTATTTAATTCTTCATAATTTTGTTCTGATTGTTATTTAATATATTTTTGTTTATTTTTGTAATGCATTTTCTAATATATATTTATGACATATAACTTTTAAATGTCGTGTTTTTATCTAGAAGGTTTTGTTATTTAGCTTTTGTATCAGAAAACATTTCTAAATTTATTCAGAAAGTGTATACAATCTGAAATTTATTCAGAAACATTACCAAATTTTACTTTAGAAAGTGCATACAATCTGAAATTTATTTAGAAACTAAATTTTACTTTAAAGTTCTATCTATTATTTAGGTTTGCATTAAATCTTAACCAAGATGAGAGTGAGTTTTTTATTTTAATTTATTTTTATATTATCATGTTTCATGTTATCATAAATATATTTTTTAATTTATAAAATAGTTTAATAGTTGTAATATTGTAGTTTTATTAAATAGGCTTATAATATTTTATAATACGAAAAATGTTTATAATGTTTTGTACTATTAAAATTTTTTATAATATTTAGGGTTACCATATTCTCATTCCCAAAAAAGAGGACACACAACACATTAAATCGAATTTAAAAAATTTAATAATACAAAGTATTTGAGAAAAAATAAAAATGATCATTTATCAGAAAAGTCATTCATCTATTTCAAACCAGTCATATTTTGCACTACTTTTATTTTTTTTTCAATAATATTGCATTTGTTTTTAAAGAATCATAAAATCCATTGCAAATATGTGTTATAAAGTTATATCTCACCAAAAAGAATTCCTTTTACTGACTCCACTGATAAGTTATTTTTCTCTTTTGACAAAAGTTATTTTTCTCTTTTGTTCACAAAAGAAAATAATCTTTCCACATTAGCATTATGTGTCGTTATGTGATTTATTAAACAGCTGTGAGTGAAATTTACTGTTCTTAGATTATTTAAAATGTTTAGTCTGCTTTAGTTCTGTTGAAGCACTTGAATATTCTTCATTATCATCTGATTCATCAGATTCATTTAATTTCACTTTGACAAACTTCTTTAAGTTGAATTTCAAACTTCTTTAAGTTGAATTTCAAACTTCTTTAAGTTTCTAAATTGATCAAAGCACATAACATCACCAATTCCAATGAATCTGTCAGCTATACTGACAGATTCATTTTTAAGCAGTTTTCAATACTTTTTTATTTCAGTATTTCATTCAGAAGCATCCAAGAAAAGCATTCAAAGTCATTTATTAATTGTTCGCTTGTAGATTGATCTAAATATTTGAGACAAGTAGCATACATGTTTATTACATCATTACAAAAGGCATTACATTTAGTGTCATATCCATCTTCTCTCAACTTTCTGAGCATTCCTTTAACTGTCATTGGCAATAATTTTTGTTATAATTTGTCATTTAGTTTTTACTGATTTTAATATGGCAATCACCTCAATGACGGAAATACCTTTCTTTTCTATTTTCAGGATATTATATTGGAAAAAATTCATCAGAGAACGTACTTGCCATAAATATATTCCTCTAAAGTAATTGTTAAAAATTTTTTTGACTAGTATTGGAGTTTGATTTTGTGAAACAAAATATGATTTCAAAGCAGCAAACATTTGAATTAGCCGTGTGATACCAGGTAAGAGTGAAAGCTATAGTGCACTACTGTGGGACAACAACTGTCTGTATTCAACATTAACAACATTAACATTTAGTTTATCTGTACCATGATGAACACAGTTGTTTAGGATGTGTGCTGGGATGTTGTCCTTTAAGTATTTTATCAGCTTTCTCATCAACCTACACCAAATAAATATTGATTTTTGTAATCTTGAAAATATGTTATTTTTTGTATCTGCTCTGTTAAGACCACTAAAATTTGTATTTGTATTATCAGCAGTAAATGGAATCACCTTATCATATAAAACAACTTTTTTCAAAGATGTTTATATCTGATCACTTATAGTTTTAGATGTTTCATCTTTTGTATTTTTTATCTCAACTACTTTAGATTGAGTTCCACCATTTTTCCAATCAAAATATTGGATTAAGATAGGAAACATTTTTATACTTATATGGTTACTACCATCTGTAGATACTCAATAAAATGGTATTTCATTTAATTCAAATGGCTTTATAGCTGACTCAACTTAATGTGGAACCAGTACATTATTAACAATAGCTTTTTTTTTTCAGTTAGATATTATTATCTATAAAATCCAGACATTTTCAATATTTTAGGAAATCCCCCCAGAAACTAATTTTATGCTTAAAAAAGAGGACAAATCCGAAAAAAAGAGGACGTATGGTAATCCTAATAATATTTTATACTATAAAAAATGTTTATAATATTTTATATTTATAAAAATCTTTAAAATACTGTCAATTTAAATCATTTAAAAAATGTTATCAAAATAAGTTAGCAGTAGTATCTCTACGCATTTTTTAAATTGTATCAAAATGGGGCAAAAAATGACTTTTAATTAAATTGTACAAACCTAATACTTGCTTATAAATAAGTAAAAGATAAAAAGTTACTCAATAGTACAAACTATTTTTAAAGATGTTAATTCTAGTAATTTAAAAATTTTATGTTAAATTTTGAGGGTATGTATATTATATCAAATAATATCAAATTGCATATTAATTAATATTATATATATTGTTTACTAATTGATATTTATATATCAAGTTATATAAAATTTTGAGGGTATGTATATTATATCAAATTATATAAAATTGCATATTAATTAATACTATATATATTGTTTACTAATTGATATTGCTTATGATGATGTTTGTTTTGTTTTTCTTGCAGATATTTAGTAGTATAATTTTTTTTTTAAGTTACCAAAGAGCGTTTCCCTGGAGATGGCATGGAATCAGTGGCATCTAAAAATGTTTTACCAAAAGATGAATTTTCTAATATAGAAAAAATAAAACTTTTTAAAAGTCCACCTAATTTTCAATTAAATCAGCAAGAACAAGCAATTAGACCTCATAACCCAGATGAAGATTTAATAAAGTACCTGTCTTCAACTAGGCCTCATATTCCAGATCAAGAGTTATTGGAAAGTTTACAATCAAAAGTGAAATTTTTGCAAGAATACAATGAAAAATTGATAGATGAAAAATTAAAAGTTTCACATCAGCTGGCAACTCAAACACAAGTTAATATTTTTAAATTATTTTTTAACATTTTTGTATGCATAAAATCAATTTTCCCTAATATAAAAATGGCTACTAGAGCTAAGATTTTACTAATAATTGACCTGTAAATTAATAAATGTAGTTAACCAGTTTACGAATAAAATGTAAATTTTATTAAATCTGTTATTAATGCTAAGAGTTTTTGAATTTAATATTTAGTGACAGAAAAAATGTTTTTTTTTATTGTTATTAAATTTTTATTTTTAAATAACTGCAAAGACACAAATAGGTTTATATTGTATATTTTAACTGAATTAATTTAAAATTTTTTTCGTTTTCTTTCTTGCTTTACCAATTTGATTTGATTTTGCATGAAATTTCAGATGCTTGTGAAAACTGTTTTAAACACTACTATAAAAAAGTAAGCATAATAACTTGCAAAGTTTAAAATTAGTAGCAAGCTTAAAGTAGCAAACTTAATTGATGAAGTTATAAAAATGCAAAAGTTTTGTGTATCTGTGCTCTTAGTGTACATAGTGATACAAACAAAGTAAAGTAATTGTTTTCACAAAAATTCAATTAGAAATAAAAGTATGATAAAAACATGTTGAAATAATAGATGGAAAATTGTTAAAATAAATATTATTAAAACAAATGAAATAGCCATTTGCAATCAAAATAAAAAAAAATAAAAAAATAAAAATAAAAGTTGCTTGTGACTTAACAAAGAATCTACATTCCAATTTTCTGTTTATGCATAAACAAAATTGAGACCAAATGAAAATGTTATAAAACTACCACAAGTAAAAAACAAAAAAAAGTAAATTTATAAAATATCGAAAGGCTCAAAATCTATTTAAAGCTTAATTTTTTCTAGAAACTCTTGCTATGTTAATGTTGCTATGTTGATCCATCGAATTCAGCAAATTTCATGATAGTTGCATTAAAGTTAACACTCGTAATAACTTCTTTTTAAAGAATTCACAGTCTTTTAATTGCATGACCATTGTTTTTGATCTTCAGTTAAATAGTCATTTCATGAATTGTTTGTAAATCTAACTAGATATGCTACATATTTAAAAAAATTTAATTCAACAATAAAGAGGAATTAAAAATTTTTTTTAAATTCAACTATAAATTGCAATAATAAAATGCAAAATAATTGAAATCAATAAATAATAAATAAAAAAATAATTGAAATCAATAAATAATAAATAAAAAAATAATTGAAATCAATAAATAATAAATAAAAAAATAACTTTGTTACAATTTACACAAATAACTTTGTTACAATTTACACAAATAACTTTGTTAGAATTTACACAAATTTTTATCAAATCGTTTTTGAAGCAACCATGGTTCAGTAGTTAGAGAGTTTACTTTAGAAACATGAGATTTAACAAGCATGTATAATGCAAGCTTTGGGCATATTTTGGATCATCAGTAAGGAGGAATGATTTTTTTCTATTAATTAGTAAATGATTTTTTTATTAATTAGTAAATTTTTTGATTCTACTAATAAATTTTTTTTAGCTTGGTGATTTTTCTTTGTTAAAAGTTCTTTAAAGAACTTTTAGGTAATTAGTAAATTAGGTAAATACCTAATTTCCTTGTTATGATTGAAATTTTGCTTGTACTAAAGAATTCCTGAGGACAAGTTTTTCAATCTCAAAATTCTGGGGTTGTGAATATCCAAGAGTTCTGTAAAGCTGGTTACTCTTCCTGGCATTTAACTGTTTAGCAGATCATGACTGAATATTTTTATTGATACCATCAAAACAAGGATTACCACCCATCCTAGCTGATTACCATCCACCCATCCTAGCTTTATAATTACCACCCATCCTTTATGATTACCATCCACCCATCCTAGCTCTATGACCATGTTACGCGGTATTATTAGAGATTACTTTTATTTTAAATGTTAGGCGGTAGTAGAGATTATTCCCTGAACCTTTATTCTTTGTGTTAAACTAACAGTTAATAACAAATCCAAACAACTATTAGTAACAATTTATTCTGTATTACTAAAATTCTCTAACTAATTAAACATGTAATTTAATGTTCACTATATTTAATATTCTTCTAAATATCTCTTTTTCTACTATATCTTCTTCCCAACATCGAATGTTCTATGAATTCTGAGCGAATGAACAAGCGACCCTATTTTATCTTCCTCTTCTTGGACGCGTTTTGGTCCAATTGTTTTTAATCAAATTTGACTGTTAAATGCTTCATGCTTCAGTGCTTTGTTTAACTATCGATTACGCTTGATCGGTTGATTTCACAAAGTTAGCTATCACAAATTTCGAGGGTAAGTTGATTTCACAAAGTTAGCTATCGCAAATTTCGAGGGAATGTAGATTTCACAAATTTAGCTATCACAAATTAGAACCAGTTTGATTTTATGACTAGGAATTTTATGGATAAAATATTTTTACTTTTATACATATTTTCACTTCATGTTTATAAGTAACTTTAAAAATCTGTAAAAGATCAGCCCAACTAGCCAAGCAAAGTTAATATTTAGTTTTTGTAGTTATTTTTCAAAATTTTAATATAATATGAATTTTTGATAATTTAGATCAATAATGAACTAAAGAATCTTTTAGTCGCATCAATTGGTGATGATTTAGAAACAAGGTGTGTTATGGTAAACATATATTGCTTATAATAAACATGTCTCATTCTTAATAAACAAACTTAAATTTTAATAAAAATGTTCCTTATAGTTAAAGAACTTTAAATAAAATAATAATTTACACAATATAAGGCAATTATAATATAAATTATTATAAAATTTAAAATTTCCTGTAAAACAATTGTATAATTAATAACATAAAACAAAGTTTTTTTTATGGTTTAAAAAATGTAAATTATAACTTATTGTTTATATTTATTTTTTTTAAAATAAACTTTACTTAAACTCTGTCTACAGTCATAAGAAATAAAAAAATTCACAAATTTAATAAATATGAAAAAAAAAATCTTTACTAAATACGTATTATAAATTAATTAGTTGAAAACAAAAAAAAGTATATTATTATTAAAATTAATTAAGTTATTATATATTATTGATATATTTATTATAAATTTAATTTAAATTATTATTTATTATATTATGAATTACATTATTATGAATTCTTAGCATATTATTTAAAATAATATATTTATTTTTAAGGATAAGTAATTATTGTATGAATGATGTAATTCTGTTTTTATTTTATTAGGTATGAAAAAATGATTTTGAATCAGATACAAAGTGATTTGGAGCTTAAAAGGCTGATTAATTTAGTAGAAGAATATCAGGAAGAGAAGCAACAAGCATATATACAAGTTGATGTGTGGCGGAGTAAATTTCTTGCTAGCAGGTTTTTATTTGACAAATTTTGTTTATTTTTTTAATTATTGGAAATTTGTTATTTTTATTTGTTTTTACATTACTTTAATGTTAATTCTTTTTTTAGTTTATTTTTTATTTTTATACAAATTTATAATATGATATACAATTTTGTTATTTTTAAGAGTTATGAATGAGGAATTAACCCAATGGAAGTCTGCATTATATTATAAGTATCGAGATTCCCATACTGCATTGCAAAGTCTTTTAGAAGAGCATTCGAAGATAAGAGTTTTAAACGATGCTACTAGAATGTAAATTTTTTTTTTTTTATTATTTTATAAGTCAATGCATTTTCTGCAAATTCTTATGTTGTTCAAATCTATACATCTTTTTTAAATTCTTACATAATTCAATAAAAAAATAAATTTTTAGAAACACTTAAAATGAACAGAGATATACAACAAATATATCACCAAACAAAAAACAAAATAAAATATTGACTACAAAATAAAATGCATACAACTATGTAAGGTGTAACTCTCAGAGTTACCTCTATTATTACTGGTGTTTCGATAAGGATCAGCAGTAATAACTATTTTAACACATCAGATAAAATAGTTATTACTGCTCATCGCAAACATTATGAACTTAATATAACTTCGTAAAGAAATAAACAATAAAATATTTTACAAGTAAAAAATCTAAAAAGAAAGATTCACTACTCAGCAAGTCATGCCTTCTTAATTGATGTCTGATAAAGACATGCATTTTTTGCTTGGTCTTTATCCAAATTCTGAATTCCATGCAGAAGAATATTTGCCAAACGCCTAAAAAGACTCTTTGATGATAAACCAAAATCATAATGTGTCCATTATAGATAGAATGTTTATAAGTCTTTTTCTTTGTGAAAAAAACAAATCACAACATGCTCTGTGATTTGTTTTTTTCACAAAGCATAAACCAATTCTAACTAGCTGATAAGTACACTCATGTGGAACAAATAGCCCCTTGAAACTTCTTCTATTAAGTCTTTAGCTTCATTCGTTAGTTCAGGTTCATGATCTGGATAAACTAGTTCATCTTCACATTTTTTCTCAAGCCATCCTGCTACATAGGCAGCAGAACTCTCTTCAGTTTCAGAAAGACTCACATCATAAATGCATGTTTCAATTAAGGTTGCATCTTCAATACTAATTGGACCCTCACATATATGACCTTTTTTATTGGGTTGTCCTACTTCCACTGATTCTAAAAATGATGCAGCAAATCTAGCTAAACGCTTTTCAAAAGCAGAGAAAACATCACCAGCTGCCATAAAAGCATTTGCTCCTGTTGATTGTCTATAAACAGAAAATTCTCCTTCTATTCTATCACTTTGTAGCTCATGAAGCAAAACATAATCAAAACCAACTGAAAACAAATGTTTGCAGAGAGCTATCAATCCTTCAGTAGTTTGCACAAGGGCTTTTTTGGTATCATGGGTAACACACTGAACTCGTTTAGGCCCATGTCCTTATTCCATACATTTAAATATGTCTAAAAGCAATTGAAGATTATTTGAATTTTTATCTTGCACAGATCGGTTGTGATCTCTCAACCTAACATCCTGCCCTTTTGCAGAAACATTAACAATATTCCACCAATCTAAAATCTGCAGGATAAAAGAGGATGTTTCATAAGCTCCTTTTAGTTTAAGGGAAGCTACTACTTTCTCATTAAACACTTTTAAAACATGCTGCACATTCTGGATAAAAGAGGATGTTTCATAAGCTCCTTTTATTTTAGAGGAAGCTACTACTTTCTCATTAAACACTCTTAAAACATGCTGCACATTCTGTAGTTGAAGTCTCGAAGGATAGACAGCAGCAAGGGATAAAGGAACTGTTTTTAAAATGTTCTCTTTCTTGTATTGATATAGACTTTTCACATCTGAAAATGAAGCTATGGTTTTATTATCGAGAGATAGCTTTTGACACGTTTCAGAAATCCAGTTATTGCGAATACATTTAAGTAAATGAACTGTGTCAAATAAAAGAAACCAAACACGCTGATTGTCTAATGGATGAATGGCCTGATAGTCAGTTATTCTGTTAAAAATTGTGCAGTATTGCTGATCGATTTTATGATTATCAGTTACAGATCCTAAAACTATTGCACCATGTTTTTCAACTATAATAGCAGCTTCTTTCACAACAATGAACTGATACAATGATGTTAGTTTGTGAACAGGGGTAACAGAAATCATTAAACTAGGTTCACCATGTAAGCATTTCATCATGACACATAGCATAGAGGTTGCTTTAGATTCTGGATCATTTCTTGCATTTTTCTGTTGATTATTCTTTATGTTTTCAAATGTTTTTTGTAAAACATGGTCAATGTTAGTGGCAGAAATTATAGACTGAAGCTTTCATTTACTTGGAAGGACTAAAAAATTACGAAGTTGATCGTAGTTGCAGTTATAAAAAGACTCGATTGCAAAGCAATAATCAGCTATAGAGAAACTTTTTTTAGACAAGAGTTTGAGTTGTCTTGTAATAAAATTCATTTTTTTTTTGTTTCTTATCATCATTTAATTCAAATTCATTTTCTGAAAGAGTATTTGTCACCTTTTCAATAACATCATTAACATGCAGATTATAATTATGAACTAAATTGATTGCTTCAAAAAATTGTGAATAGAAGATTAAGCCATTGTTTGCATTCAATATATTAGCTAATGGAACGGAAATTCCATGTTTAAAAGCTGAAAAGGTTAGCAGTGAACACAAGGTACACTTATCATAAACAATAATCGTCACAAAACTCTCTTTGAAATCTTTTGACATAAAATGGCATATGAATTTATCGTCTTGTCGAGATATTACTATATTTTTATACTTTTTGTGCAACTCATTGTCAGGATAAAAATCAGAAAACGAATTTATTCTATCTTTTTTGATGAAATAATTCAATTGCATGTCCTCAGGTTTAGATTGGCGAGGCACAGGCTTTGGTGTTGGTAAACAAGAAAAATGAACATTAAAAATACAAGGAGCACATGCTGGTCAAGTATAGCCACCAGGCAGCCTAATCATTTCTGTATTTTCAGGCCAATGTTTTTCACATATAAAAAATTTAGATGGCTCAATAATAAAATTTTTACGTAAAGGAAGAACATTAATCCATTTCTGTTTCTCAATTTCATCTTTCAGTAATTTAAAAATACGACACTTATTAAGTTTATTACAATGCCATATTTGTTCACCGTGATTATGGTTAAAATTTAAAAAAAATGTTACAGGAACATTAAAGAACACTTCAACTTTGATAAAAATAATAGCCTTCACTAGCGGAGTCAGGAAATCTAGTTTGCGCGTCCTTCCGTATAGTAGTCCTTGATATATATATGTATAACACCTATAGTATCACTTACAGGGATATATTTTACAAAAAAATAAACACTTACGGGGACATTAGCATTATCAGGGTCATTTTAGTGTACCTGTTAATTTTTTGTTCCTATAAGCATCTTTTTTTTGTATAAAAAAGGTCCCCGTAATTTTTATATTGAACAATTTTTATAGTGAACGAAAAGTACATACATCAACTATAGCATCTCAAAGCTTTTTAAGTGTCATTGTAAGTATAAGTGTAAATCTGGTGATATCATATGGTATGGATGAATCACCGATAAATTATGAAATAATATCACCGATGCATGATGAAATGATATTCTTCAATGTGCAATGATATGATATCAACAATAGTAAGATAATATGATATCACCAATAATAAAATAATATGATATCTTCAATAATTAGATGATATTACCAATAGTATGATAAAATTTAATAAATAGCATGTTAAATATATTTGATATTTTTTGATTTTTGAACCCCTAAACCTGTATAAACTATAAAGATAAAAAAAAAACTTTAAAAAAACTATGATATATACATAAAAAAAAGTTTTTTTTTTAAATTAAATAATCTATTTATATATCAATTTAAAAGCCTGTTTATAAGCCAATTCAAAGTTAATGTTTTGTTACCCATTTATTTATTAATTTTAGTTATTAGTTATTTAATTTTTTTATTATTTGGTTTTTATTCTTTTTTTTTTTTAATCATTCATCTTACATTTTCAAACTTTAAAATTTTTTTAAAATTGATTTTTTTTAGAGGTCTCATTAAAATTGCAGAATTATTGAACAGTAAAGATGCATCCCTTGATTCCGAGATGCGTTTAACATTGGTAGACACAGCATTCATTAATCATGACCTTGTAGAATCTTTAATAGAAATCATAGAAGAATCGTCTTGGGCAGAGAAACCAAATGAAATAAAACAAAATATTTTCTTTAAACAATTTAAAAATCATTTGAAAGAAATTTATGTTTTGCCAAGTGAATTATCAACAGCTGAACAATTGGCTCATGAGGTAACTATTGATTGTATAACTTTTTTTGCAAAGAATGCTAATATTTATAATAATATACTTTTGTCTTTATTGTCAGATATTATGGCTCACTGAGATCAGATTTACCTAGGAAGAAGGGAGATAAATTTTGGGAAGGGGGATATAATTTATAATTTTAAATAAACCAGAAGGGGATAAAATGGTTTATGGTTTCATACATATATAAAGTGTTACATACATACATAAATGAAATGTTAAGTATGCTTGATACATAAACACATGGTTTGTACTTTATTTACTCTATACATAAATTTTAACCATTCCATGTTGTATGTTTTATTTTTTCCACTATGTTAAAAATTAAACATTGTATATATTACACAATGTAAATATATATATATATATATATATATATATATATATATATATATATATATATATATATATATATATAATACCATTAATGCGTTGCATTAAAATACCATTTATTAACATGGTATTTTATATATTTTTTACATAGTGTTACACATAAACAACTCTATCTTAATAATATACTTATGATTTCTTGTAAAATTATATTTTTGTAGATTGTTACAAATACTGGTATACAAACGGAAGAACTTGTTAGAATGAGAAGAGATTATTTAGCACATAATCGAATAAGCCACTTTCTGTCAACAAACTATCATGTTACATATAATTGCTGCAATAGTTGCAAGGGTCGAATTATACATTTGTGAAATGTAAATAGAAATAAAATTTGTAAATGAAAAAAATTAAATTTTTTTTAGTTTTAAAATCTTTTTGTATATATTTTAAGAATATTCATATAATCATAAGTCTTATTCCATTGGAGATACAGTAGCTGAGCATGTCCTAATAGGTTTTGTTTTGTTGTCATTTGTATGTATGTGTGGTTGTGTATGTGTATGTGTATTGTGTATGTGTATGTGTATTGTGTATGTGTGGTTGTGTGGTTATGTGTTTATATATATATATATATATATATATATATATATATATATATATATATATATATATATATATATATATATTAGGGTGATAAATATATGCATTGAATTTTTTTTTTTTTTTTTTTTTTATACTCTCAACCTTTTATTTGGCTCCATTTAATGAAAAAATGATATTGAGAAATTTTTGATGCAATATGTTAATGTTTAGACATTGCTCAGCCAGTTTTTTAATTTTACAAGATTACTTAAACACACAATTTTTCATATTTCTCATCACTTATCACATCTATTCTACTAATAATGTTGAGAATATTATCAATATTTTATTATTTCCTAATCTAATGAGTCATTATGTATAATACACTGTTATTTTTTTTAGAAAATTAATAAGTTAAAAATAAAATAAGTTGGCTGGAATTCACAAAACTTACTGTAATACTTCATCATCCACCTAAGTTACTGCATCAGTATTCTACTACTGCTGAAATTAGTGCATCATCCTGTAATTCCAAATGAGTTCATTGTTTTGAATGAAAATGCATTAAAAAAAAAAATATTATTTGATAGATATTTTCAAAGTCAATTTATAATGGAGACTAGAAGTCAAAATAAAGTATGGTGTGTTGGTCAAGCTACAGCTGTGATCACAGGACAAAAGTTGTCATCTAAAAGGCAAGTTTTAAAAACTTATTTTTTCTTTAAAAATAACAACAATGAAAGAGAAAGTGCAGGCCTTTACAGGCCGTAACGGATCTGGTTCTAGACTTTTGTCAAAGATCTAGAGTTTCAACAAAGCAATGTTATCATGTTATAACACATGTTGGAAAACTTGTTGAGAAATACGAAAAGCTAAAAAAAATTAAGGTCACAAAACAGAAACTTAGCAAAAAAATGGAGAAACTTTTTCTCAAGAAATCAAGCAACTATTTGATATTGCTTATGAAGATGCTTTAAAATTAATCACAATAGAAGAACAAAAGACGTTTCTTATACTGCAAAGAGAAGGATAAAAAGGCTACATGGTTGTGAATTTTTCAAACAAGAGCAGCGTATTTTAGACAGAAAAAAAGCAAACAAAGAAAGAGAAACAAAAGAGCTAATTATAAAAGAAAAAAAAATGATTTCAACAGTCACCCAGTTTTGACAGAAAAGACTCCTCTCAGGTACTGATAATGAAGTAGTTGACTTTCCATCAATAGCAAAAAAAACTAAAAAAGAGAAGAAATAAGTAAAAAGAAATATTAAGAATTAGATTACATTTTGTTCAGATCTTGATCGTTGAAAATTCCGAATCGTTCTGGTTCCTTGGTTTTGTCTACAATTTGTCAAGGGTTAGGTGCCAATATTGAACATGTTTCAACATCATATGAATTTCTTCGATGTGCACTTATTGACAATCGTAAAAAAGTTGCAAAAAGAATCATTTTAAAATTTAAGCCACAAGTTCCATTAACTGTTCATTGGGACAGAAAATTGTTACCTGATTTGAACAGCAGAGATGAAGTGGATCAACTGCCTATTTTAGTGACAGGATATGATGTAGAAAAACTGTTGTCAGTCCCAAAAATGGATAGATGCACCAGTGAACAAATGAGTTATGCAACAGAACAAGCTTTAAAAGATAGGAACATTTCATATAACAAAATTGTGGCACTCTGTTTTGATACTACTTCAAGCAATACAGGTATACATTTAGGGGCTTGTACCTTGCTGGAAAAATTAATTGGAAAGTTTTTATTATACACAGCCTGTCGACACCATCTTCATGAAGTGATTTTATCCCATGTTTTCAAAACTTGCTTTTGAGCATCTTTCATAATATTTGACATAGAAGTTGCTGAATCTAGCATAAAAGCCATTGCAGGACATTTATGGTATTTAACTGAAGAACTTGCGAGTCTCTCTTTTTTTAGCACTAATTTTGATAACCAAACTAAAGAAAAAATGTTGATTGCACTTGAAAAGCCAGCTAAAAAAAAAACAGGTAAAAAGGCTTGAAGGTAAAGGATTAATGGATACAATTGTAAAATTGAACTTAGATGACTTTGTAACAAATAGATCAAAATATGTATTTGAAGTGCTTGGAATAAATTGAATATTTATGAAGGATCATCGCCTAGACACATGGAGTACAGTAACCGAATGCCAGGAATCATACAAAGTTCTTTATTCTATGAATTATTTTATGAAGTTGTGAATGACACAGCTGAAAGAGGGGTGAAACTTGTTTCAGATTACATAAAAATTTTAACAAAAGATGAAATTCAATTGCAATATGTTTTACAATCTGTGAAAGAACATCGATGTTGAATTCCAGATATGTGAAAGTCCACAAATGTGAAGACATTAATGAAAACAAGTGAACAATCAACAAGTGAAAACAAGTGAACAATTTGTATTAAAATCTGAATTTTTTAACTAAAAGTAATACAATAAAAGGGTTGAGAGTCTAATTTTGAACACTTTTTTTTTGTCACCCTAATATATATATATATATATATATATATATATATATATATATATATATATATATATATATATATATATATATACACCTTGTACAGAAAATTTAAACGTACTTGTTTTTTTAACGTATATAATACTTTTAAGAAATGATAACCCGTTAAATTGATGTGCACTGTATTTTTATGTTTATTTATACTATGGCTATAATTTTTTAGTTTAAATAGAAAAAAACTTCATATGTTCTTTTTGTACCACTTTAAACATACCTTAACTTTTAAAAAAACAAGTGCGTTTAAACTTTCTGTATAAGGTATAATTGTATACATGTATATATATGTATATATGTATATATATATGTATATATATTTATATATATGTAATACATGTAATGCATATTATGTAATATGCATTACATGTATTACATATAATGTAATGCATATTATGTATATATGTGTACATATATGTAATACATATTATGTATATATGTATATATATGAATATATGATATATGTATATGTATATATGTATATATATATATATGTTTACATGTATATATATATATATATATATATATATATATATATATATATATATATATATATATATATATATATATATAAATTAGTAGAAAATCACTTAGCATCTACTAATTTACTACTTCTACTAATTTGTAATTGCTCTGTTCTTTTAAGAACATTGAGCACTCTTTTTGTAGAATACATTTTAAATTGTTTAAATATATATATATATATATATATATATATATATATATATATATATATATATATATATATATGTGTATATATATATATATATATATATATATATATATATATGTGTATATATATATGTATATATATATATGTGTGTGTGTGTGTGTGTGTATAATACTAATAAAGTTTTTTTTATACAAAAATATTTGTTATTATTAAAACAACTTATTTATTTTTTATACAGTAAAACATTTCTTATACAACTAATAATTAATATTATTTCAAATATTAATTATTAATTGTAACAATTAATAATTAATATTTAATTATTAATTGTAAAAGTAAAGTTTTAAACTTATTTAAAAAAGTTGTAATGTTTACATATAATTGAGATAATATTTATTTATAATAATGTTACAGAGATAATTTATAAATAAATTTATGTTTTAAAATTTTTTTACATTTAGATTTAAAAATACATTAACATGTCAATTAGGTTGAATGTTGTTGAGCCCAAACATCTTGATATGTTAGGTTTGTGGGATTCACGCACAACAAGTTTAGCTCCACTTTCTGAGAAGCAAAAAGATAGTATTGTTGAACTCAATACATATATACACAGACCTATTCCTAAAAAAGTAAGAAATGTCTTATTTGTAGTTCATACATGTAGTTTTAAATTTTAATTTATTTCTGTTTTTAATATATGTTTGGTTCCATTCTTGCTGTGTTAGTATTTTTGTATTCCATTGCAAGTTGAAGAAGTGTTGGTTTCATTTTTGTTGTATTTTGTGCAGAACTATTCATTGTTATTCTGCGTTCCGCAAAATGGGTTATTGTTGTACATTCTGCAGATTGATGCATTAAACTGTTATTGACATTTTGATCTTTTTTTGTTTTTATGTGAGAATGATTTTTACCACTTTTTGAGTTAGTTACTTTATCTTCAGAATAATTTTGACCTTTAGTTTTTTTTACTAATGGTGCATGTTCTGACAGTTTTTTCTTTTTAAAACTTCTCATGATTGTTTAAGTTTTTTTTACCTGAAATAAAACATTACACTAAATATTATTTGAAAATATTTAAAAAGTTAAAAATGTTGACTAAAGAATTTATATTAAAATATCATTTTCAATTAATTTTTTTTAATATTATCTCTTCATCTTACTGCCTGTAAGTAAGATGAGGTATTAAAAATAAAAATAAAAACATGTATATATCACAAAGCATGTTTAATTGATTACTATATATTGAAACCATTGTCTTTAATCCTTGTACATTTGAAAAATGTTTAATCCTAGTATATTTGAAGAATGTTTGTTATAAAAACATTTTATTGTAAATTGATAAAAAGGATTAAATTTATTTCATGAAGTGATGTTTTGATAATTTTGCTTTTGATTGAATTTTTTTCTTTTAAATGATCAATGATATCATGTTTTAAGAAAATCAAGTTTTCAAAAAATCACAAAAATATTATATTGTATAAATATGATATTTTTTAAAAATAATATTTTTTAAGATCATGCTTTATGAAGATCACATTTTATGAAAATTATATTTTCTGAAGATCATGTGATGTGAAGATTATGTTTTGTGAAGATCATATTTTAGGAAGATTATATTTTCTGAAGATCAAGATTATATTTTCTGAAAATCATTTTTTAAAGATCATATTTTTTGAAAATCATAATTTGTGAAGATCATATTTTGTGAAGTTCATGTCTTGTAAAGATTATATTTTGTGAAGATCCTGTTTTGTAAATATCATGTTTTATGAAGATTGTATTTTCTGAAGATGGAGTTCTATGAAGGTTGTTATTTTTGAAACTAGTGAAGCTAAACATATTATATGGTTATGTACATTATGTTTGACATTAATGTTTGAGATGTTGAAGTATTGTAGTAAAAAATTGAATTTTTTTAGCTATCTGTGACATGGTAACTTTTGAAATAAATTTTTTTTTAATGTGCCAACATGCTTAATTTTGGAATATGTTGAGTTTTAAACACATATATTTCTTAAGTTCAAAACATGAACACATTTTAACATAGCGTGCTTAAGTTCAAAACATGAACATGTATTAATGTAGTGTGCTTAACTTCGAAAAATAAACACGTATTAGCGTAGCATGCTTAAGTTTGGAACATGTATAGTATAATATGCTTGACAACACTATATTTATAGTATAAGTTATGTTTATATAACATTTAAAAGCTAATTATGTTTTATATAAAATATAAAACATAATTGGCTGGTAACAAGTATTTCTTAACATGCTTGAGTTTGAAGCAGATATAGGAATAATATACTTTGATTTTCAAAATGTTCTTTACATGGATTTTTTTTATAGTTTTGCAAGGAAAAGGCTGTACCAAATGATGACAAAATTTCAAAGCATTTAGCGAGTTTAGATTTAGGAACACGAAAAATTGAAAATTCTCAACAGGTATTTTTCTTTGTTATGCATATTTTTAAATTATACCTTATATAATTATAACTTAGTAAAGTATTTACTTGCTGTAAGTTGCCATTTCATTTAATAATATTCTACTTTCACAAAAAAAAAAAAAATTATTTTCAATATTTAATGTTTCTAGTTTTTTTCATGGTTTTCTCAAGTTCAAACTCAGATGGAGGAAAATAAAGAAGCTAACTATAGGTATATTTCTGAAAATTTTAAAACATGTTTAGTTTTAAGGACTTCTGAAAATTTTAAAATTTCTACATTCAGTTTTTAGGGTTTCTAAAAATTTTAAAACTTCTATGTTCAGTTATAGGACTTATAGAAGTCCTGAAATACTAAAAAAAGAATTCTAAAAATTTTTATGTTTAATTTATAGGAGACATTTAGACAAATGCTAAGAAAAGTTTTGAAAGAATTTTAAAACCTTATGATAAAAAAAAAGTTAAAACTTTTATTAAATTTTTATGATATATTAAGAAACTCTGAAATACTAAAAAAGAATTTATAACTTCTGTTTAATTTTTAGAATATATTTAGAAACCCTGACAAATTATATTAACAAATGTGATGAAATTTTGAAAGAAGTTATTCAAGTAAATAGCCATTTAGATGTTCTAGAAAAACAACATAAATTTGTTTCTGAGCAGACACATGCCCTTCATGATGCTTGTGAACATTCACTTCAAGATCAGGTAGGTTTTTTAAAGAAACTAATTTATAATGTACATTATAATTTTATAATGTACATTATAATTTTATAATGTACATTATAATTTTATAATGTACATTATAATTTTATAATGTACATTATAATTTTATAATGTACATTATAATTTTATGATGTACATTATAATTTTATAATGTACATTATAATTTTATAATGTACATTATAATTTTATAATGTACATTATAATTTTATAATTTACATTATAATTTTATAATGTACATTATAAATTTACAATGTGAATTGTATTTATGATTAACAGTTGGGCTGAAAAGTTTGTATCGTTTCTAAGAAATGGCGCCACTAGAATTAAATTCATACCATTTTTAGTTAGTACCAACCTTGAAAAGATACGTGTAAAAATTTGACAGCTGTCAGATTATTAGTTTGTGATATATTGCTCTAGTAGTGACGCTACTTTTGTTATTGTGAAAAAAATGGAAAAAAAAGAATTTCGTGTGTTGATGAAACATTACTTTTTAATGAAAAAAAGTGCTGCCGATACCAAAAAATGGCTTGATGAGTGTTATCCAGACTCTGCACCAGGCGAAGCAACAATTCGTAAGTGGTTTGCAAAATTCCGTACTGGTCATATGAGCACCGAAGACGATGAACGCAGTGGACGCCCAAAAGAGGCTGTTACCGATGAAAATGTGAAAAAAATCCACAAAATAATTTTGAATGATTGTAAAGTGAAGTTGTTGGAGATAGCTGACACCTTAATAATATCAAAGGAACGCGTTGGGCATATTATTCATGAATATTTGGATATGAGAAAGCTCTGTGCAAAATGGGTGCCGCGTGAACTTACAATCGATCAAAAGCAACAACGAATTGATGATTCTGAGCAGTGTTTGGAGCTGAACATCGAAATAGAACCGATTTTTTTTGTCGATACATAACAATGGATGAAACATGGCTCCATCACCACACTCCGGAGTCCAATCGACAGTCAGCTGAGTGGACTGCACGCGATGAACCGACTCCAAAGCGTGGAAAGACTCAACAATCGGCTGGGAAGGTTATGGCCTCTGTTTTTTGGGATATGCATGGTATAATTTTCATCGATTACATTGAGGGAAAAGGGAAAAACCATCAATAGTGACTATTACATTGCGTTATTGGAGTGTTTGACGGATGAAATTGCAAAAAAACGACCTCATTTGAAGAAGAAAAAAGTTCTGTTTCATCAAGACAACGCACCGTGTCACAAGTCAATGAATGCGATGCTTAAATTGAACGAATTGGGCTTCAAATTGCTTCCTCATCCACCGTATTCTCCAGATTTAGCCCCCAGTGACTTTTTCTTGTTCTCAGATCTCAAGAGAATGCTCGCTGGTAAAAAATTTAAGAGCAATGAAGAGGTGATCGCTGAAACTGAAGCCTATTTCGAAGCAAAGCACAAATCGTACTACAAAAATGGTATCGAAAAGTTGGAAGGTCGCTATAATCACTGTATCGCCTCTGATGGAAACTATGTGGAATAATAAAACCGAATTTTGAAAAAAAAATGTGTTTTTCTATTAAACGATATGAACTTTTCAGCCCAACTGTTATGTTTCTGATGCTCTGGTTTGAATTCTCATTTTGTTTATTACTATTTTTTTTTAAAATCAGGTTGTTTCTTAAGATCAGGTTGTTTTTTAAGATCAGGTTGTTTCTTAAGATCAGGCTGTTTCTTAAGATCAGGTTGTTTCTTAAGATCTGGTTGTTTCTGATTAAACACATGTTTCGGTGCTTGTGAATGATTTTGAAATATTGGTTGTTTTAGATATATATGTTTTTTTTTTTAATTTTATTGATTTTTACAGAGTAATTTGATGGATCAAGCTGAGGAGATCTCATTTCATCTATCATTTTTTAATTCATACGAAGTTATAAAAAATGTAAGTTTTAACATGACTAAATTTTTTAACAAGTATCACATTATATTTTACATACACCATCATGACTAAAGATACTGCCATAATTTACTTAATCTAGAATTACAGAGAAACATGATTGTAAACTTTATAAGGATAAGTATGTCTGTTAGGTTTTATGAACAATTACTTATATATATATATATATATATATATATATATATATATATATATATATATATATATATATATATATATATATATATATATATATATAAATAAATGTATAAAGTCTTATATAGTTTTCTTTATGCATAAAAGTTTCCTAAAAGTTACTTGCACACAATGTTTGTTCCGACTTTCAAGTTAATTATAAAGTTTTAAATAAATTTAGTTATTTAAATATAGGGTAAAAAATTAGGGTATCTTAATTTTTATTTCATGATAAATTCAAATATTATAAGAATAATTTTGTGAAATAGTGGAATAGTTCAAAATCAAAAAGATGTTAAATAATATCAAAAAGATATCATCAAATAAAAATTGTTATCAATTTAAAATTTGTTTTATATTACTTGTAACAACTAAATTGTTATTTTGTTTATTTCTATTAGTAATAAACTTGGAAAGTTTATTACTAGTTTGTTTAAAAAATATTTCTGAAATTTAATTTATAATTAGTTTGTTTAAAAATTATTTCTGAAATTTAATTTATTTGACAGCAGTAGTTAATATATTTTAAGGTAATTATCATAATTAATAAGTTATTCTCAGGTAGTTATCATAAATGTTAGGCTATTCTCAGGTAATTATCATTATTACTAAATTATTTTTGGGTAATTATCATAATTATTAGGTTAATCTTAATTATTCAATAATTCTCAGGTAATTATCATAGTTATTATGTTAATCTCAGGTAATTATCATTATTACTAAATTATTTTTGGGTAGTTATCATAATTATTAGGTTAATCTCAGGTAATTATCATATTACTAAATTATTTTTGGGTAATTATCATAATTATTAGGTTAATCTAGGGTAGTTATCATTATTACTAAATTATTCTTGGGTAATTATCATAATTACTAAGTTAATCTCAGGTAATTATCATAATTTTTAGGCTTTCCTCAGGTTATTTTTATGCTCATATTCTAATACCTTTTTTTTTAGAAATTTCGGTTTTAAATAGTGCCAGACCTCCCTATAATTATTTCTACAACCATGTACTTTTTTTTTGTATGATGAAAGAATATATTTGGCTTATTTACGCTTTTTTTTGCTGAGTTTACAAAAAAAATTTTAACATAGTATTTTAGGTCTTTTTTTTTTACACTCCACTCATATTTTGCTGCAAATGAATAGCAAAAAATTTGTAAGAAAGCACACATGTGGCATTTTTGCTATTCAGTTTTATTTAGTTTTTAGCGCACATTTAGTGAGGTGTTTATGATATTTAAAAAAAAATCAGAATGATTCACATTATAAACCCACACATAATATTCATATTGTCTGTAAAAATAACTCATGTTTTGGAGATGTTTTGTTTGTACAAATCAATTTATTTTCACATGGCATTAGGGCTGTTCAGTATGCTAATTTGTTTTCAGAACATAGCTAATTGAAGTTTTTCCTATTCAACTATCATATTGTGGTTCAAAAATATTTTTTACTAAGTTTTATTATTTGCCCTAAAGGTCACTCAAAGCCACTAAACATTTGACAGGTCCCTAATATTATTAAAAAAAAAATTATTTAAAAATATGTCAACTTGGTACTCAAAAGAAGCAAAATTTTATAAAAATTTTAAAAATTAGATTCATTTTTTATAAAAAAAAACTTAAAAAAACTTATTATTAAAAATGTTGTGAATATTACCTTTTTTTCAATAATATTAGGGACCTGTCAAATTTTAGGGGCTTTGAAGGACCTTCAGGGCAAATAATAAAATTTAGTAAAAAATATTTTTGAACCACAATATGATAGTTGAATGGGAAAAACTTCAATTAGCTATGTTCTGAAAATAAATTAGCATACTGAACAGCCCCAACATGGCATCATATAATATTATTTTGCTGATAACACTCCTATTTTCTCAATATTGTTGAAGTTGGTGCTGGTGTTTGAATTATGTTGCTGTGTAAAGTTTAATTTGTGCTTAAATGTCGTTCTGGAAATTTCTTGAAAAGCAATTTTTAAGGAAGTCAGAACAAATTGTAAGAAAATAAACTTTTAATAACTATGTTTAAAAAGAACAAAAATTATTTCATAGTCATTTAAAATCTTGTACAAATTATTTTTGTTTCTCAGAAAATTTCTGGAATTCATAGAATTCTTCAAGGAATTCATTTTTCACAATTTTATTTTTGTTAAACAACAAAAAAAAATTTTTTTTTTTAATTTTACTTCACCTCCTCCAGGCCGAGAAGGCCACTACAAACGAGGAGGCTACTTATTTTGTGGCTATAACCCTCTCTCAACTCTATAACTCCGAAACACGAACCTTGACGAACAAGGCCGCTGCGTGGAGAAACGAGTTGAGCGCGGTACTACCAGAGACATGGTGGGGATCAAACTCGGAACCGCTCGTTTATGAAGCGAGCGCTCTACCACTACACCACTACCGCACCAAAAAATTGTTTGGTTTTTTTTATTTCAACTTAGTTTCATTTTTTTAATCATATTTTTTTTTAAATAGTGGTTTTATAATTTTTTTGTTTGTTTGATAAATTTACCTCAATTGCCATTACTTTTTTTAACTTTTGAGAACTTTATTTTTTCTACTAATTTATTTTTAGTTTCTTAAAAATTTATGTAATATATTTATATAAATATGCAATAGTTAATAACAGAGTTGTTAGTCCATGGCCTTGGTCTTGCCTTACGGCCAAAAATTGAGTCCTTGGTCTTGGTCTTGGCTTTGAAACTGTTGGCCATGGCCTTGGTCTGGATTATTTTAGCCTTCGCTTTTAAAAAAATACATATTTTCTTATTGATTTTATTGAATTCTGCGCATAACCTTGGTCTATTTTTTAAAAATGTTGTTTTATTGTCACAACACTTGGTACTTAATATAATGTTAATTATTGGCCTTAACTTAAGACAAAAATTGAAGTCTTAAAAATGTTTGTGTAGGCCTTGGCCTTGAAACTCCTAATCTTGGCCTTGACCTTAAAACTCTTAGCCTTTGCCTTGTTTGGCCAAAATATCTAGTAACTTTTTGGCCTTGTAACTTTTGGCTTTGGTCTTGGCCTTGGCCTTGTAGCGTGTGACCTTGACTTTGCTACTTTTGGACTTGTTAACAACTCTGGTTAATATCTTTTTATTAGTATTATTTTTTTTATTAGTAATATTTTTTTTAGAAATTGACAAGTTCAACAATATCAGTGACAAGCGAATCATTCATTCCTTTACTTAAAAAAATCGATGAAGCAATTGAATATGTTGAAAATCATGTAATTTTTATGGTTTTATGCTTTTATTATTGTTTAAAAAAAATTTTTAATATTTTTTTGTTTATTCAAAAAAATATTTTTAGCAAGACTTTTTTTTAGCAAGACTTTAAAGAATCTACTTTATATGCTGCACGATTTAAACAGTGTCTCAGTCAAGCATTGAGTCTTATAAAACAGTATGTTACTAACATACTTAGAAATGCCTCAAATAAAGCTTTAGCTGTAATAAAAAAGGTTTACAATTTTAATTATCTGTTCTTTAAATCAAATCAGTTAAGTTGTAAAGTCTTACAATTGTAAAACTTTTTAATTATAATTTTTTTTTATAAGGAAAATGACCCATTGCTGAGTTTTAGTGACAGCTCATTTGCTTTATTGTATGGCAAGTTTAAAACACAAGCTATGAGGGTCAAGGTAGGACTCTTGCACAATATTACTTTGAAATTTTTAGAAAGATAGTAAAGTATAAAGTATTACAAAGCAATTCTAAAGTTTTTTGCATATTATGGAAAAGTTTAAAGTAATTTGAGTATTAATCATTTTTAAAATATTTTTAGTGTATTATGGAGCAAATCGAACTGCGATCAAAGAAGAGCACAGAGTTATTTTTTTTTATTTTTTTTATACATATTTCTTTTTATAGATATTTTTTTTTTTATAAAAGTAGTGCTTTTTTATATATACAGTCAAACAAAGTATTTGATTGCCTTAATAAAAACTTAAGTCTTTATTGAACTTATTATTTTTATTTCCATTAAATATTGGAAATGAAACTCCCTACAACAAACCAGACAATTTAATCAAAAGAAAAAATTAAAGTCATTCATATAAGTCTAGGAACACATGGCTGTCAGACCACATTATTTTATAAAGACTAAAAAAATTCTCAGCAAAATTAGAATGAGTTGACTCATTCTAATTTTGCTGTGAAATTTCCTCATGTTATAACATTATGAGATGAAAAACTCATCTCATAATGAATACTATTTTCATAATGAATACTAGTTTCAATATGAATACTATTACCTGATGTAGTTACTTGCATCAGTTCAACATTATCGTCATCACCCAATGGAGCTATTGTTAGGGGTTGACTAATGAGTGAAATTGATACACATTATTCAATGCTGTTATCAGATGTTATAGGGTTATTTGATTGAGCAATTTCTGGTCGATCTGTCACATAAGATGATAATTAATCTTCATTTGTAAAAATAGTTTTATCAAAAGGCCAAATACCATTGCATCTAGTTCCAGATTTTATATTCGTAGGAGTAGCAGCTCTATCCCAAGCTTGGACACAAATTTGTGGGATATCATAAATGCTAACAGTTTGACGAGGGTGTGATAACATTCATGAACTCATACCTCAATTTGATATTTTCAGGGCCTATTCTAGGAAAAAAATTTGGACGGTGGTACCCCCTCGTTCCGGCCAACTTTAGGGGAAAATTGGCATTTTTCCCGATATTTGCCATAAAAAACGTAAAAAACAAACAAAAAAAAGTTCCTCAAATTTTAATTTGGGCGGCACTTGAATATCGTCGACACTATCGAAAACGGTCTTGAATAGCCCCAAGAATTCTGAGAAAAAGCTTAAAAATGTTTACTCTAGTAACTACTACTCTTTAGTTAAGCGCCACACTGTGTTAGCTGTAAGCGCTACACTGTGTTAACTGTAAGCGCTACACTGTGTTAACTGTAAGTGCTACACTGTGTTAACTGTAAGCGCTACACTGTGTTAACTGCAAGCGCTATACTGTGTTAACTGCAAGCGCTACACTGTTTATGCTTTATATATAGATTATGCACTCTATTATGTTTAGCTGCTTTTATATACATTCACTCAAGAGTTCCTTTGCGCAAAATTTATCTACAATCAATCTACATTTAATCAATTAATCTACATTTCTTGCGAAGTTAATCTTCAATGAAATTATGATGTTATAACCATTAATGATTGCGCATATAGAAATTTACAAAGCTTTAATAATTGTCCATAGAGAATTGTTGTTTAGCAATCATTACAAAAGCATCGGAGGAGACTTTAGATAATGTCCAAAATGTTTGAAGTCCTTTATAATTTTTAATACACCCTTTATAGGATGTATTAAAAAAAATCAAAGGAATCGTTGCAAACTTATTTATAGATACAAAAACATTTATCATTCAATACATTTCAAAGCGTTTCTATAATTTCATTCAATACATTTCTGAACTCTGACAGAGTTTTCATTTTTCCGTTAAAAAATTGAATTATTTTTAACAATTAAAAAAAAAGAAAAGGAAAGCAAGAATTTTATGTGTATTTTTACTTTATGTCAACTTACTTTATGACCACTTATACTTGCAACTATAAAACTTATGGAAATGTAAATAACTGTTACAACTGTATTATTCGTCTGTTATAACACAATGTATTGTTCGTCTGTTACAATACAATCCATTATTCGTATATTACATATTTTTTTATGAAAATTGATCTTTTAATAAACACATAAACATTTTTTTGTTAAATTTATTCTTTAGATACAACTCACTCATTTCTGATTGTCAGCAGTGTTATCTTGAATACAGATGGCAATTAATTTCTCCGTTTGTAACCGAAACCATTCGTCAGCTAGAGCAGCATCATTCAAGAAATCCATGTACATTGGTAATTATTTAATTTTGTAGAAATCTTTTGCTAATTTACTCAAATAACAAATGTTTTTAACTTTGCTATTTGATTATTATTTTTTAACAGAAACTAAAAACATTTTTCACTTCATGAGTTTAGATGCACTTTTATAATGTTTGCATGCTAATTAATGCAAACTATGTAACAATAAGAAACACTGTGTAACAATAAGTAAAATTGTGTAACAATAACTAATGCTTTTTAAAGATGTAACCATCTGAATGTTTATTATTGTTATTTAAATTGTGTGTAATAATCTGTTTATTGTTATTTTTAGTATGATTCTCTTTTTTAGTTTCGTTCTGGATGTTCATTTATGGTGCATGTGTGTTGCGATGAATACCAACTATATCATGAATTTTTTACAGAAGGAAAACAAAATTTAGAGTAAGTAATTTTTTTCTTTTTTTTTCTTTCTAATAGTTTTACGATTGTTTGATACAAACATTTTCAATCCAAGTACATTGATGGAAAATCTCTGTGGAATATTGTACGAAACATTCCGGCCATTCATTATTCAAATGACTCATATGGAAACTTTAGCAGAACTTTGCAACATTTTAAAGGTTCACAGTAAATTTATTTTAAAGGTTTAGTTCACAACTTATTAAGTTATATTTTATCATTACTTTGACAAAAACTATAATTTTACTGAAAATGGATTTAAATGATATTTTTCTACTTATTTTCTAGTAACATTAGACTATTTGTAATTATTACAAATAGTCTAATGCTAATAATTTACTTTTTATAGATATTATTGCCTAGTAACATAGATTATTTGTTGCATAGGTTGAGATGTTAGAAGAGCATGTTCAACGAAAAGGTTTGTTAAATGTTTTTTTTTTAATTGGGTAAAAATTTTATATTTTTTTAATTTGGTATGAATATTTTAATGCAAAAAAAAAATTATCTTGAAAAAAAATTTAAAAATATTTCTGCTTTAGTTTGTAGTTAGCAGGTGTTTTGATGCTTCAGTTTTTGAGTAGAATATAAAAAAAGTTTATTAAAAAACTTTATTAGGTTTTTTACACTCATTTTACTTTACATACTATAAATTTGTTTATTTTTTAAACATTTAAAATTTTAAAATAATATTATTACTTTAAAAATTTAAAGCTTAAATAACTTTCTTTTTTATATATTGTAGAGATTTCATTTTTTGTAGAGATTTAATATTAACAAATTTTAAAATTTATTTCAAAGCTTGTGAAAAATTCACAAGTAGTAAAATTCAGATGAAGAATTTTTAACAAGCTTTTTTTAATGCTTTAAAAACTTGGTGTTTCAGTTATCACATCATTTGCTATATAATGTTGTTATGAGAAAAAAAAATTTCAAAGCATTTTTGTCTTAGCCATTATTATAATGAGTCTTCATTTGTTCATAATTATGTTTGTTGAATCAAGTTAGTTCTTTTCTTATTTGATCCTTGTGAAAAATGATCAATTTAATGTATCTTGTAAAAATTCTTCAGAATGATTGGTTTATTGTTGTTTGATTCATTAGATGTTGCAAATAAGTTTCTAAGATTAATATTATACTGAATAATTGTAGAGAGAAGTGTTTGATAGTGTTTTATAATAAAATTATTATATTAATAATTATATTAATAATAAAAGATATACAACAAATATTTTCAACAATATTTATTTTTATATATTCCAAATTTACAAATAATATTAAAAGCGTATTTATTTACTCGTTCAGGATACTGCGTGTAAGCTTTATAAATTCCAACAACCCTAATACAATGTAAATTTAATTTTTTCTCAAACACAAGTTTACAACAACTATTAAAAAAGTAACATAAATATAAATGTTTTGATTTGTCACTTTAAAAAAAAAATATCAGGCAATCTCTTTCTAAATCTCATCCTAACTGGATGTATTTGCCTAAAGTCTCCACCCATAATATTAATCAACATTTTATAAAAAAAATTATTAGTTTAGATTTTATTGTACAAAAAATGACAATTTTTAATAAAAAATTAGTACAAGATTTTTCCATATTAGGTGATTCACCTAAGTTTAAAAATTAAATTTCAATGGGAGGTATTTCCAATGGATGTATTTCCAAGGTTTATTTCTAAGGGACATTTTTCCAAGGTTTATTTCTAAGGGACGTTTTTCCAAGGTTTATTTCTAAGGGACGTGTTTCCAAGGTTTATTTCTAAGGGACGTATTTCCAAGGTTTATTTCTAAGGGACGTATTTCCAAGGTTTATTTCTAAGGGACGTATTTCCAAGGTTTATTTCTAAGGGACGTATTTCCAAGGTTTATTTCTAAGGGACTGGGATTTAAATTGGTCTGCATTCTGACTATAGTTTATAATTCTGATAAAAAACGTTTATTGTTAAATAATACAAATTTTAATTCTTTCAAACTATTTCAAAATCTAAACTAAAACGTTTAATTCAATGATTGTGGGTCGCCTAAAAAGTTATTTCAATGGCCATAAAATATTGTTAATAACACTACTGTATAATAATAATACTATGTAATAAACTTATGTTTGATACCGAGTCATCAAATTTTCATAGTTTTTGGTATAGGGAAGAGTCGGGTAGCCCCGGACACTGAAGGAAAATATAAATTGTGCACATGTGCCAACAGAAAAAAAAGTGTCAAAAGACTTTTTTTAAAAGTTCAAACATTCATTTATCAAATTAGAAACAAAAAAATAATTATTGTGTAATAATATATAAAATAATAATATATTAATAATATACAAAATTAATAATATACAAAACATAAAAGAAAAAATGTTAGAAAAAAGGCATGTTTCAAAATTGGAGGGTAGCCCTGGATACATAGTTTAACCATGATTTTACCTCTTTTTTCCAGTGTGACACAAATGTAATATATAATAATTTAGCATTGGACTGTTCTCGACACATTTTTAAAAAAATTGCCTTTAAAAATTGCCTCTGATATATAAGAAATGAGAATGAAAATGTCATCATTTAAAAATATAAACTTAAGCTTTTTTATAATGAAAATAATCACTTTAAAAACAATTTTTTCAAATTTAATGTTTTTTTATTGGAATTAAATGAATTACTGTTATAGATAATTTATATTAAATGTATTAGTATTTATATAAAAAAAAGTTGTTTATTATTAATATGTAAACGAATTAAGTTGTCTGGAGCCACCCTCCAAACATGTGTTCAATACCACCCGATCATACCTCATTCACAAATACTAGTTTTAAAACCAGTGAATTAAACTTTTTAACAACTTTTTTTTTTAATAACTATTGTAAATAAAAATATATCTTTAATCTTTAAAAAGTTATTAGTTTACATAAAAATTAGGTATATTAATATGTGAATCAAATATGATGATACGTCACTCTTCTGGTGGTGGGAAACAAAATCTTGCCCTCCCAGTCATTTGCTTTGGCATTTTATGATAGATATTTTGCATATGCCATATTTTCACTCAATTAATGTTATCCTAGTATTAAAAGTCACATAGCTTCTTTAGTTTAAGCTGTACATCAACCGTCGGAGTAGGGTGGATTGATTTTCATAGCAAAAAAAAAAAGTTTAAAAATCAATATTCCTGAGACACAAATCGATGTCTATTAATTATAAGATGAAAGTAAAAAAATATTTTTTGATTTTGATGAGATCTTGAGGTTTCTCTTTGGATTCTAAATCCTTGACGAATCCTAATATTTTTGAATTTTTTTTTTTCTTAACTATATCAACCTTGGACTCAAAAGAAGCAGAAAAAAATGCTTGTTTTATCAATAATAATTTTATTTAAACAAAATTTTTAATGAAAAAAATATTTGCATAAATATACATTAAAACCCCCGTTTTGATAGAGACTGGGGCTTTTTAATGATAAAAACAACATTATTTTTTTTTCTTTAGTTTTGAATTTAAACAAATACTATATTCAAAATAAGCGTATTATTCTGCTTTTTTTGAGTACCAGGTTGATATAGTTTAGAAGAAATTCAACAATATTAGGATCCGTCATAAATTTAGAATCCAAAGAGGAACCTCTAAAACTCATTTTAATTAAAAAAAAAAAAAGTAAGGTTCTTTTTTCACCAAAAGACATCGATTCGCATGTCAGGCAAATCAAATTTCAAAAATTTTTAAAATGGATGCACTCTAGTCCGACTTTCCCCTTCAATAGTCCAGGGCTACCCGACTTTCTCCTTCAAGCTTTTATTGATAAAAAAAAATTTCTACCAAATTTTAGTGTCAAACTTCTCATGGTTTTAGAGATACTTTGACCCTGTTTTTTGACTGGTACTCAATCTCACTAATTTTTTGACTGGTACTCAATCTCACTAATTTTGTATTGCCTTCCTGTTACAAATGGTGGAAAATTAATCATTAACAATTAATTCCTCCTTAGGATGGAATGCAACAATGTTTTATACAAATTTTGTTAGCTCTATCATGAAAAAGCAATCAATAGTTTTGTGATGTTTTAAAATCAATAATGTCGTGATGTTTTTTTATTGTTTTAAAGTTTTTATCTCTTATTTATAAGATATTTTGTTTCCCTTTTTTTTCTTCAGGTAAAAATACTATTTTTTTGCAGCAATTCTACACAATATTATTTAGGTGATTTCTACACAATATAATTTTAGGTGATTTCTATACAATATAGTTTAGATGATTTCTACACAATAAAGTTGAGGTGATTTCTATAGTTAGGAACATTAAACTCTTCTCCTATATGTCTGTTAAACCAAGAAATTAAAACCAGTGTTTTTAGTTAATTTTTCTGATTGTGATTGGAACTTGAAATTTTTGCTTTGATATTTTCCATAAGTATATCCATGTTATTTGCTTTGTTTATTTTCTTTGTTTATTAAGGGAATCTTCTTAGTTTAACTAAATAATGTCTATATTTAAAGTCCTTGCAATTTCTAATTATACTGTTTATTGAACTTGTATTAATTTTTATTTACTAAAAACATGTAGAGGATTATGTTTATCTTATGTTCATAATGGTTTTTATTTACTAAAAGAAAATTTTTATTTACTAAAAGCATGTAGAGGATTGTTATCTTATGTTCATAGAGGTCGAAGATTTGAAATAAAAAAAAATTCATTTATAGTACATTCATTATCTTCATATTTATAAATACGGTTGCAAGTAAGTTCTCCTACGTCCATCCTCCTTAAATGAGATCAATTTAATCTTACATAAAGAGTATATTATTTCTTCAGAATAAATGATAATTGATAATGTTATTATGTGTAGTAAAGATTGGTATTAAGCTAATTGAACATTTTTATCATTCAATTAATTTAGTCCTGAAAAAAATAGATTAGCTTTAAAATTTTTATAAATGTTATAATACAATTCTTTGGCTATTATAAATTGTTTATAAACTTTTGAAGTGAAATCAAAGTTTATATACTAGAACTGTACTTAACAAGTTTATTTACTAGAACTGTACCTAACAAATTTATTTACTAGAACTGTACCTAACAAGTTTATATACTAGAACTGTACCTAAGATACTGGAACTATACAAATATTTAAAGAAAAAAATGCACAAAAAATGCAAAATTATTTTTGTTTGTCATTAAATAATTTTTGTTACTTTTTGGGGTTATTTATATAGAACTTTTATTGCAGTTAAATTTAAAAAAGAAAACCCTTGCAGTTTTTTTGTATTATGGACTTTGTTACACATAGAACTAAAAAAATTTCAGAATTATATCTCAAGATATGCATTTTTTTGTATCAGAAAACCTTAGAAACTTGATACAACATTTTAAAATTTTATGTTCATATAAACTGTTTGATTTTTTGGTGTTTTGGCCATCATTATATACCAAAACCATCATTTTTAGCCATCTTCTGTCTAAAAACGATGGTTAGGGCCCTTGAAAGTCATGGTTAGGGTCAATTTTTCATCACTATTGAAAAAAATTGTATAAGAAAATTGTCAAAATCTAAGATAGCATCTTATTTTGTTATGGACTTGAAAAAATGATCCTTTAATTAACAAAAACTTGATGACTAAATTTAAATAATAAATGTATACATGTGAATTAATTAATAATTTTTTTTTACATCTTTTTTTATTAGGTGATCAATTGACTTCTTTTCAAGTAATACTTTTAGAAATGCTTGAAGATGTTCAAGAAAGACTTGTATATCGTACACAGGCAATTTTTTAATTTATATTATAATTTTTCAACTATTTTTAAATGATTATAAAAAAAGACCTTTTATAATTTACACAGGCTATTTATTAATTTATGCAATAAACTTTCAACTATTTTCAAATGATGCTTAATGCTTCAAAATTAGATATAGAAAATTAGCTTTATAAAATAATTTTGTTTATAAAATAATTTTGTACTCTTATATGATATCTAGTATAATATAACAAAAGTAATTATCATATTTATCATAATTATCATAAATTACCTAGAATTATATATTTGTTTAATATATTCATTAATGCATTTTATGAGTATGATTAAGCTGAATCTTGACTTATCCACTGAGTCTCATATTTTATAAACTTTATCATTCTGTAAATAACTTTTTTTTTTGTTGAAGAAAACTGCACCCAAAAGCAGTTTTTTTTTTCAAATTAGCAGTTGGCCTTTATTTTATACTTGTTGGAATTAAAGAAAGATTATTAGAATAGAGTTTATCATTTCCATTATTTGTACTATCATTTATGATAGTACAAATAATGGAAACATTTCACAATTGTTTGAGTTAAAGAAAGATTGCTAGAATAGAGTTTATAATTTCCATTATTTGTACTATCATTTATGGTAGTACAAATAATGGAAGTATTTCACACTTGTTGAAGTTAAAGAAAGATTGCTAGAATAGAGTTCTTCATTTCCATTATTTGTACTTCTTAAGGTTTTTTAGAGTTTTTCATTTCCATATGCTTGAAAGTGAAATTAGAAGTCTATGAAATTAGAAATTTATTATTTGCTTGTCTTTGAGAAAAAAAGTCAAACATCAAAATTTAATTTTGGTGTTTGACTTTTTTTTTCATTTTTTTAGCAATGAAAAAACTTCCTGGTAAATTTTAATTCTATTCTTTTATTTACTTTTATTTTTTTTTTTATAATAAATATTTTTATTTATCATAAAAATATTTATTATAAAAAAATCCATCATAATATATATGGTAGATTTTGAAATATTTTCAGTTATAAAATCAAATATAGAAATTATATGCACATTCACATAAGAGCTCTCAATTTCAATTAACTATTTTCACCATTTTCATGTTGAATCGATTTTATTTTTTTCTTTCATTTCTAGATAAACAAAGCATTAAATATAATAATTTATTTTTTAATTAATTTTCATGTGCATAAATGTGTTTATTTTCAATTTGAAAGTAATTCATTTTTGTTTTAGTTTGAAAATTTTATTTTGATTTGAAAATAGTAATTTAAGTTATTAATTGTTGTAATATATACTATTTATAGTATTATATTTTTAGGCCTACATAAGCAAAGACATTGCTAGATACACTCCATCGTCTGGTGATCTTGCTTACCCAGATAAGTTAATGATTAATGTATGTTTTATTTATATCTTTTTTTATAACTTGATTTATTTATCAAAAGCTTTTTTTAATAAACTTAATAATTTAGCTAGGAAGTATAGACTGTAAAGATTGTTTTTTGTTTTAATAAACTATTCATTTAGCTGGGAAGTATAGACTGTGAAAAAGATGAGAAATACAATAACTATCGAAATGGTATTTATGTTTTTATTTTAAAACATTTTTTTTTGAGAATTTTTCTATAAAGTTGTAAATTTTTAGGACTTGAATGGTATTTTATGAAAATTTTTGTATCTGTGTTTGATACTTCTATATCTGTGTGTGGTACTTTTGTGTGTAATACTTCTTTATCTACATGTGATACTACTGTGTGTGATACTTTAGTATCTGTGTGTGATACTTCAGTATCTGTGTGTGATGCTTCAGTATCTGTGTGTGATACTTCAGTATCTATGTGTGATGCTTCAGTATCTGTGTGTGATGCTTCAGTATCTGTGTGTGAGGCTTCAGTATCTGTGTGTGATACTTCAGTATCTGTGTGTGATACTTCAGTATCTGTGTGTGATACTTCAGTATCTGTGTGTGATACTTCAGTATCTGTGTGTGATGCTTCAGTATCTGTGTGTGATACTTCAGTATCTGTGTGTGATACTTCAGTATCTGTGTGTGATGCTTCAGTATCTGTGTGTGATACTTCAGTATCTGTGTGTGATACTTCAGTGTCTGTGTGTGATACTTCTGTGTGTGATACAAGATATGCTCAAATGCCTTATAAAATCATATGATCGGTATTAGAAAATCAGACTGCTGTTGTCGATCTTCAAGCTATGTGGTATCCTACAGTTAGAAGAACATTGGTTTGCTTGTCAAAACTCTACAATTGTATTGGTGTATGATTTATGACTTTTTTTAATTTTTTTATGATTTTAAGTGTATTAATTTTAAATCTTTCAATTTTATAATTAAATTTATATCTTTAAATTTATATCTTTTTCTTTATAAATCTTAACACGTTATGATTGAAATTATAGATTTTAAATCTCTTATTTTTTAATTAAATTATTTATACTTTTCAGAAACCAACATTTGAAGGAATAGCACAAGAAGCTCTTTCTTCTTGTATACAAACACTTAAGTATGCAAGTAAAGAAATTTCTAACAAAAAGGTAGTTTTATTTAGATTAAAATTAATGTAATATTTTTTGTATTTATAAACATATCTTTTATAAAACTTATCAAGAATTTTAAAGTTAATAAATTTTTTATGATAATTTTAACAAACATGCTTTTAAAGATTTTATTGCAAACTGACAATTTTTATCTTCTCAGCTTAAATATAAAACAGAATGTAATAACACACCATTAATATCTTTTACTTTTTATTAATATCTTCACTTTTACTATTATTAATGTATCAGTTAATTCATAAATTTAACATATTAGCATATTAATATAACATATTAATATTATCATTGTATTTTTTTATTGTTCAATTTTATCATTGTTGTTTTTTTATTATATAATGTTTAATTGCTTAATACATGTTTTGTATACGGGAAGATTGATAAAAACATTTGAAGGATTTTATAGACGTCAAAAGGACTTCAAAGACATCTGAAGGATTTTAAGGGAGTTTCAATCCATAAAACATTCCAAATAATATAAATTCTCATTTTACCTAGTAAAAATAGCTGCTTGAATTTTAATCAACAAAGTGTAAACTGTATTAAAAAGAAATGAAAAAGGAAATTTTTTTTTTTTTTTTAGTTTTTCTTAAGATGAAAGTTTTAATTATTTTTTTATTTTAAAATAATTGATATTTGAATATATTATGAATCTTAAATAAAAGTTTATTATGAATCTAAAATTATGAATGAGTATTGCAAATCAAAACCATTTGGGAATTTGAAAAGTTTTTAAGATGTTAACTTAACACTGTGAGCAAGAAAATGAAAAAGTTGTTTAAATGAATGATATTTTTAGGGATCTTTAAATGGTCATTTATTTCTTATCAAACATCTCTTAATCATTCGCGAGCAGATATCACCCTTTGATGTAGACTTTGCAATTAAAGAAGTATCGTTAGACTTTTCTAAGTTTCGCACTGCAGCCTATGGTTTGTTTTCGAAAGGAACTCAACTTCTGAGAATCAGTTCAAGTAATGCTGTTCTTGAATTTCTTTTAGAGGTAAATGTTTTTTTTTTAAATAAAAAAAATTTTGTCTTACGAAGATTTTTTGCTTTTTTTTTTAATTATTATTATTTATTTTTGTAATAAATAATAATAAAATGCAACTTACTGAATATTTTGTATTCACAGGGTGTACCTCAACTTACTGAATATTTTGTATTCACAGGGTGTACCTCAACTTACTAAATATTTTGTATTCACAGGGTGTACCTCAACTTACTGAATATTTTGTATTCACAGGGTGTACCTCAACTTACTAAATATTTTGTATTCACAGGGTGTACCTCAACTTACTGAATATTACATTGATTCAAAGAAGGTATCTTTGTGTTTTTTTGTCTTCATAATATTAAAATAGTCAATAAATTACATCATGATTTTGTGTTGCAAACTTTTAAATTGGTTTGAATTTTTTATTATTGTGATTTTTATTTATTAGTATCATTAAAAAAAATATGTTTTTTTGTATTATATTTTTTATTTATTAGTATCATTAAAAAAAATGTTTTTTTGTAAAGTTACAATAAGTTTGAGCAAATTTTCAAAAATAAATTTGAAAAACTTTTATTTATTTTAATTTAATGTTTTTAATAATACTTCTGTGTTCACACTTCCGTAATCACATCTAATACTTCGGTATTCACACTTCTGTACTCACATTTAATAATTCTGTGTTCAAACTGGAAGAAACAATAGATTAAAAAAAGAAAAAGGAAAAAAAAAGATTAAAAATAGCAAAAGGCATAAATAAAATTGAAAGGCAAAACAAGACATCAACAAGGAAAAAAAAGAAATTTTATTTCCTAGTTCGAAAAAAAAACTTCAGAAGTTATTTGAAAAGAAAAAGAACTTAAATTAAGAAAAAAACTGTTATTACCATATTGTATATTTTTCTTATCATCAGGTGGTTGTCCATAAATGATGTCACGCTTTATTGGGGGGGAGGGGAAGCAATTTTGTGACTATTTGTTACAAGGGGGAGAGGGGTCTGGGATTTTTTTATATAAATTTTAAATCTAGAGATTTATTTACACTGAACTATTGGGGGGAAAAAAAACATTAAACAGACTAAAAGATACTAATTAATTAACTCAAATAAGCTAAGAAATTTATAAACATATTTGAAATCGTTTAAAAAAATTTTTTAAGGGATGGGGGGTTACAAAGTTGTTGCATAATATTATTTTTTTTGGAGGAAAGAGGGTCAATAAAATGTTATAATGCGTTACAAGGGGGGGGGAGGGGAGGTGGTCAAAAAGTGACAAAAATTGCATGACGTAATTTATGGACGACCCCTTAGTATTAATATTGTTACGATTGTTATTATTATTGTATTATTATTATCATCATTATAACTATTATTAAATATGTAATTTACAAATTATTTTTTTAAGGTGTATTTAAAATTAGTATTTATTACTATTTGCAAATATATATATATATATATATATATATGTATATATATATATATATATATATATATATATATATATATATATATATTATATATATATATATTATTTATATATAAGTATATATATATATATTATTTATATATAAGTATATATATATATTTTATTTATATATAAATATATATATGTATATTATTTATATATATATATATATATATATATATATATATATATATATATTAATTATATATAAATATATATATATATATTTTTTATATATATAAATATATATATATATAAATATTATTTATATATAAGTATATATATATTTTATTTATATATAAATATATATATTTATTTTATATATATAAATATATATATTTTATATATATATAAATATATATATATATATATATATTATTTGTATATAAATATATATTTTATATATAAATATATATATATATATATATATATATATATATTTATATATATATATATATATATATATATATATATATATATATATATATATATATATATATATATATATATATATATTATACAGAAGTGGCCAAAAATTAAAGCAGGCTACATTTTTTAAAGTTTTTTAACTTATTGTTTATTTCTGGCATTATAACCTTGGATACAAATAATTTTTTTATTATATTTTGATTTTTGAAAATATTTTGATTTATTTTACACCGTCAGGTTGCCATAGGAGTGATATTATGAGTAAAAAGCGTTATATTAATAACTTTGTTAAAGGGACCACCAAGTCTCGAGACATGTTGTGTTCATATTAAGAGAAAGTTAAAAAAAAAATGTCTTGACAATTTTTTTTTGATTAAAACTAATTAATAAATGTATACCAAGAAAAATAAATCTTGTTGTTTTAGTCAAAGTTTGTCTTCTCCATTTTCTGTGGTATTTGGAGTCTTTAAAATAAACGCGATTTTCCAGGTGCATTATACAGACTTGATAATTTATTCAAGTGTGTTTAATTCATTGGAGTTTAAGTACATGACGTCATAGATTTTTTTGTTTGTTTGTTTAAAACACTGATTATTATTTTTTACATACTATTTTCAAACCATATTCATTTTTATTATATTTTAAAGTTCTAAAATGTGTAAAAAAATTAAAAACAAAATAGTATTTTATTTGCATAACTTTTTTTTAATAATCTTCTAGACCACATGTATTTTGATTTCTTTTGTTATAAGTTTTTTTTTCAAAATATTAGATAAAATAATTTTAAACCTAAAATAATATTATTAACACATTTTTTCTCTGGTTTTCAAAAATTTATTGAGGTGATCTTATTTCATTATTTATATTTCCATTATTATAACATCCAATATATATTATCGTGGGGGCTTAAAATTAAAAAATTAATATATATTAATTTTTGTTTTACGGACAAACATGGAGACATAAGAAACTTGAATGTTCTTAAAACATCTTTCAGAAGAATAAAAAGAATATTTGCGAACACTAAAAACCTTTAAGATATCTAGATATAATATATTCTTAAAACATAAATTGTTTTAAGAATATATTATCAAATGAACTATTACTTTTTTTTGGCTCGTTCTCTGAGCCATTCTCTGAGCCACCAACCTCCAATTCTTGGAGCCACATCTGCAAAGCTGTAAATCTTTTAAACTATTATCATTTGTTTACAAAAATAAATGTTTTATAATATATATTTTTTAAACTGTCAAAATTTTGAAAGTTAATTACAAATTATATTTTTTATTAGTATATTCTTATTTTTTATATCTCTTCCTAGTGCTTGGTTTAATTAACTGTTCATTAGATTTGTCGAAACAACTTGCATCAAAATGTAAAGAAAACACTCATGAATCATCGGAGATATTATATAACCTAATTTGGCACTATAGGGGTTCCTAGGTCCACCATCGCTGTAGTCCATGTAGCCACGGCTCTGATAGCTACAAAAAAATAAAATATTTTTCAATGTGAATATTTTAGAAAATAAAATAACTAACTATAGTTAGTTATTTTAGTAAAATTTAATAGTAAAATTTTTAAAGAATTCTAGAATGTTTCTGATGACATCATGTACTAAAACTCTTATGAATTAAACGCACTTGAATAAATGATCAAGTCTGTATAATGCACCTTGAAAATCGCGTTTATTTTAAAGACTCCAAATACTGCAGAAAATGAAGACAAGCTTCAACTAAAACAACAAGATTTGTATACATTTATTAATAAGTTTTAATCAAAAAAAATTTGCTCAGACGTTTTTTTTATTTTATATTCTCTTTAATATGAATACAACATATCTCAGAACATGGTGGTCCCTTTAAAGGTAAAATGAATGCACTATTTTCGTGGGGTTATTTTCAAAGTAGTATATCAAAACAATTAAAAATATAGAGATGTGTCGTGCAAAATGCTTTACGTGTGCAAGACTCATTAAATCGAAAATATTGTGGTAAAAAATGTGTGAGTACATCATGAGGAGACCGTTTTTTAAAGAATGTTGTTAATAGTGAACCCACACAATATCTGCAAGGTTATCACAACTTGCTATGAAAAGGGGACTTACTATTAGTTCAAAGTGAAACTGCACATGGAAATTACTAAAACCAACATTTTCCAGCAAGATTTAGCATCTTGTCATACACCTAAAACAGTTAAGAAGTGGTTTACTGATAATAAATTGAATTATTATCTAATTGGCACTCAAGTTCACCCTATCTTAATGTTATCGAAAACTACTGGAATTTATTAAAGCAGAAAGTTGCAGCACATCAGATAAAATCTGAAGAACATCTTTAAAAAGTTCTTAAAGAAGTGTGGACTATGGAAATCACCCCAGAATTTTGTAAAACATTAGTATATAGTATGCCAAGAAGAATACAAGCCGTGCTTGATAATTTATTTTTTTTATTTATTTTACATTTTGTATTGCATTTATTCAATAAACAATTTACACTGCAAAATTTGAGTTATTTTTTATGATGTGCCTTAATTTTTTGGCCACTACTGTATATATATATATATATATATATATATATATATATATATATACATATATATATATATATATATATATATATATATATATATATATATATATATATATATATATATATATATATATATATATATATATATATATTTATTTATATATATATATATATATATATATATTTATTTTTATATATATATATATATATATATATATATATATATATATATATATATATATATATATATATATATATATATATATATTAGGGTGGTCCATAAAACAACTTTTTTGAGAAAAACCTGCTGACACCCCCTAAATGTGTTTTATCTAATGCAAAAACACTAGGTTTAAAATTTTTTTGAACAAAAATTATTTTTAGGGGTAGCTCAAGGCCCTCAAAAATTTGACGGGTCCCTAATATTTTGAAAAAAAAACTTTTTCTAAAGTATGTCAACCTGGTACTCAAAATAAGCAAAATGATATAAAAAATTTAAAAATGATAATAATTTTTTATAAAAATAATTTTTTTAGGTATAAATGCATAAAAACTATTGTTTTTAAGCTGAAAATAAAAAAAGTCAATATTTTCAGGTTTTTTGAGAATAATTTTTTTTAGGCATGTTTTTTATGTAAAATGATTATTATTTTTGAAGTTTTTATACAATATCGCTTCTTTTGAGTACCAGGTTGACATACTTTAGAAAAAGTTTTTTTTTTCAAAATATTAGGGACCCGTCAAATTTTTGAGGGCCTTGAGCTACCCCTAAAAATAATTTTTGTTCAAAAAAATTTTAAACCTAGTGTTTTTGCATTAGATAAAACACATTTAGGGGGTGTCAGCAGGTTTTTCTCAAAAAAGTTGTTTTATGGACCACCCTAATATATATATATATATATATATATATATATAAATATATAAATGTATATATCACATTTATAATCGCATCTAATACTTCTGTGTTCCCACTTTTGTAATCACATCTAATACTGAATCTATATTAGTATTACCATCTACCTGACCAGGACAAAATGAAAAATATTTTTAAGTTATTTCTCTGCCTCAAACTCAAATAAATATAAAGTTGAAATATTTTTTATTAATTGTTGAAAATCTTTAAATGTAATTTTATATTAGGAGGTAGATTCTGAATTAAAAATTGTTTGTGAGCAATTTATCACCGATGTTACAGAATCATATATATCTCCTCTTACCAGTTTACTTGACAAAATTGACACAGTCTTAAAGATGGCAGAAGCAGATGGAAAAGATTCTAAACAACTTTTAAAGCAACAACCTTTTGCTAAAGCAGGTGAGTTTGAAAATGATTATAAAATTTTTTTTTAACAATTTTGTTGTTTTAAATAATGTAATTTTTTAGATGCAGTCCGTAGAGTAGTTAGTGAAACATACATGATGCTGAAATCAAAACTTCCTGCAACATTGCAAAGTCTTACATTATATCTAGCCAATAAAGACACTGAATACATATTATTTAAACCAATAAAAGTATTTTTTTAAATTTATAAATCCATTGACGGTTAAAACAAAATTACAACTCTATTATATTAATCTTATAATAAAGTGATGTATGTTAACTACAAAGTACTGTATGTTAACTACAAAATGTTGAATGTTAACTACAAAGTTTTTAATATATTTAGTCAAAGGTTCTTCGTGCTTACAAGCAACTGTCAATTCTTGTACATCAGTATTATAATGAAGAGGATGAACAAATTATTGGCTGCCCAACTCAAGAACAAGTAATTGTTTTTTTTAAACTTAATTGCTGTCAACGATTCAGTAAAAAATATATTACTTTCTTAAATTTTATTGCTATAAACAATTTTACAGTACATCAGATAAAATAAACAGTATTGCTTTTTTAGTAATCTATGAGAACCTTTGTATTTTTTTTTTACCCGAAAGTGTCATTTTCTGGTTCCTTTTTATGAGGTGTTACATTAGTTTGTGTTGAATTTTACTACAACAGCTGAACATTTATAAAATATTTTTACACATATTGTGGACAAAACGAAATTGTTTAGTTAGTTGTCTAAATGTTGTAGAAGTTATCTACATGTATTGTTAAACTTATTTTCATATGTTGTAAAAGTTATCTACATAAATTGTAGAAGTTGTCTACATGTATTGTAGTAGTTATTTACATATATTGTAGAAGTTGTCTAAATGTCTTGTAGAAGTTGGGTATATTTATGCCTATATCAAATGAGAATGCTTTGTGAAAAATTGCTGTGGTTGGAGCCTGGGAATAACAAAAACCCTAAAACTTGAGGGGGTCATAAAGTTTACAAGTTTATATCTTTTGAATACTAAAATATTATTTTACATGGTCGTGGTCATGGCTTTTATATATATATATATATATATATATATATATATATATATATATATATATATATATATATATATATATATATATATATATATATATATATATATATATATATATATATAAATATATATATATATATATATATATATATATATATATATATATATATATATATATATATATATATATATATATATATATATATATATATATATATATATATACAGTTATTCACAAAAGTTTAAACGAGGGTGTAATTTTGTTCAAATAGGTTTAGTTTTTTCTTAATTAAAAAAAAAAGTTAAAATGATGTCGAATTTTTTTTATTTATTAAAGAAAAAGTAATTAGGTGTACAATAAACGTGAACTTGTTACGAAATTATTTGTATTAATTAAAAAAAAGTTAATCATAAAAATACGCATGTGAAAAATGAGTAGCACAAAAGTTTATATAAATTCAATTATTTGCTAATTAATCCAATTTTTTTTTTGCACGCAACTTGAAATTGCTAAACAATTTCAAGTTGCGTGCAAATGGGCCGAAAACCAGTTTCAAGTGAGATCAAATGGCAAATTATTGGTATGTCTAAGTCAAAAGTTCACAGCAACGTTCAAATAGGCAAAATACTTGGGGTTTCTGAATCTTGCTTACAAAAAACAGTCAAAACCTGGGAGCTTTCCAAGTACGTTGTTGACAAGCCGCGTTCTAGGAGACCATCGAAGCTCAGTGACCGAGGCGAATATGGTCAAAAGAAAGATTGAGCTGGACTGTTGAAGACTGGTTAAAAGTTATTTGGAGGGATGAAGCTAATTTTTAAGTTGTAAACCGCAGGGGAAAAATATATAAAATCAAAAGATTTGCAACGGAAAAATATTCTGAACGGTTTTTGTAAACCTTATATGACGCAGTCTATTCAGAGCCTTTTAAAAGAATGTCAGTAACTTTATTCTTCTGGTCACTACTCTGAGTGGAAAATACTTGCAAATCAAGTCATCAAACTAATCACCAAAAACGTATTTATGACCGATGCTTCTCCTCTGGTAAAACAATTTTTTGGCGAGAAGTCAGGCTTACCAATAAAGGACAAATCACTCTGAGACATTAGCAAACCAATTGAACGATCATTTACAAAATGTTTGGTACAATAAGAAACAACCTGACCTTTTGTTCTTCATCAACCGTCAAGCAGACCTAGCTATTACCTCCATTTTTACCATTTATAACATTCTCAACCAACTCAGCAAACTAAAGACAGAAGCATCAGGACCTGACGATCTCTCCCCTATTTCACTCAAATCTGCTGGCTTAGAAATTGCTCCATCACTCAATATCCTGTTTAACTTCCTCATAAAAAACAGTTACTTCCTTGATCACTATTAATGGTCGCTGATCTGTAAAGAAAAAAAAGAAAAAAAATTAAATTCACAGTTAAGCTTTCAAAGTTTAAGGTTTTCAACCGTGATTATTTTATATAAATGGTTAATTATATATAAGTATATATATATATATATATATATATATATATATATATATATATATATATATATATATATATATATATATATATATATATATAATATATTTATTTATATATATAAATATTATATATATATATAATATGTTTATATATATAAATATTATGTATATATATATATATATATATATATATATATATATATATATATAATATATATATATATATATATATATATATATGAATATATTATATTTATATATATATATATAAATATTATATATATTTATATATATATATATATGTATATATATATATATATAATATATTTATTTATATATATAAATATTATATATATATAATATGTTTATATATATAAATATTATGTATATATATATATATATATATATATATATATATATATAATATATATATATATATATATATATATATATATATATATATATATATATATATATATATATATATATATGAATATATTATATTTATATATATATATATAAATATTATATATATTTATATATATATATATGTATATATATATATATATATATATTTATATATGTATATATAATGTGTATATATATATATATATATATATATATATATATATATATATATATATATATATATATAAACTTTTAACTCTTCTTTTTAGGTTTCTTTGCTCATGTCTTTTCAATGAACGGTGTTTAGAATCAAGTTAAAGGTGTTGAATTAAAAGCGAACAGCTTAGTATTTATCATTAAAAATGTATGAAACACGATTGTCTTTTTTTCTCGTCGTTTTGAAAATGTTCAGCATTTTTATTTTCAGATTTTATTACTAAAAACATGGTTTAACAAGTTTTCTGTTGGTCACGTGCTCCAATTAGTATTGTAAATGTCACTTGATTTGATTTAATCATTTAAAAATAAAGTCTGAATAAAAAAAAGCAATTCGGTCTGAAGTACGTGACGTTAGTTTTTCTTATTAAAACTTAATTTAAGAAATTATAAAAAAGTACGAAATTTTCCAGCTGTACAACGGGAACATTTCTTGGAAATTCAACATAAGTAAAACTTATAGGGTAAGTTGGCAAATTTCGGGCGGCATCGAATTTCGTGCAAACAGCCTTTCACACCAAAAAAATCATACTGACGTTAATTTAATCAAAGTGTTGTTTCACGTTTCAGTTAGTACAACTTTTCCGTATCAAGTTACTGCTAACCCCATGTCGGTAGTCCATTTATTTATACTAGCAGTAAGCAACCCGTAATGTGCGTTGTTAGTAAATAAAATTAAAAAAAAAACCGCATATAGAAAAGCCTAGAAACTACTTTAAAATAGAAAAGCCTAGAAAATGACGTAATTCGACTAATAATATTAAATTAGCGTATTATCAGCGTATTATAGCGTATATTATCAGATTAAAAAAGCTATTATAAGTTATGATACATCGGTTTTTCACGTAAAGTGAAAAAAACGTCATATTTCGTGCATTATGCCCGAAATTCAATTTACACAGTATCAAATTTCGTGCATTATTTTATTTTTACTTAACAATGATTTTGAATGCTTTTTTGGTTTTAACTATCTTTAAAAGCATTTTAAAGGTTGCTAATGACGTTTTTAAGACAGCTGCAAAATTATCCGCATGGCTGGATTTCTTTTAACTAAGCAATATTTGAATTCACATTTCAACTGTTTGAAAATATAGTATCATCATAGTGGAATATACAAGTTACAATTTTTTAATCAAGTTTGTTATCGTGACTATGGACTCTTAGAAAAGACGGAAGTACCAAAAATATAACGAAGAAGCTGTTATGGCCGCTGTTTCTGATGTTCGAGACATTCATTGAGAAAGGCAAGTTTAAAATATAATGTACCTTTCAGACAATCGGTGGTAGAAGAAATGGAAAATACGGTGCCGCCAAGCAAAAGATAGTGTTGTTTAAAATATTTATTTACTTACTATGCTAGATGTAATTCTCCATAAGCAATAAAATTGCGTAAGATTTTTTCAGAAGGCAACGTATTTTTTTAGAAGGCAACGTATTTTTTTCAGAAGGCAACGTATTTTTTTAGAAGGCAACGTATTTTTTTCAGAAGGCAACGTATTTATAACGTATTTCAAACGTATTTTTTTAACTTAAAGGTTGCAAATCTGCTTTAGAAAAAGAGGACGAAGAAAGAATAAAAGACTAAAAAAATTAAAAGTATTCTCCATTTAAAAACTACCTAGCGATTTCATATTAAGCAGAAAATATCCAAAAAAGCTGGTAAAGACGCAACATGCTGTCAGTGGAATCGATTATTTTAACTACCAACAGCTGTTCAAGAAAAGAAAAAAAAAAAAAATGAAGAAAAGGAGAAAAGAAAAAAAACGAGAGAAAACACATCGAAAATGAAAAAAAAAAAATCTATCAACGGCTTCTTTCAAAAAAAGTTGTATTGCAGAAGCCTCTCTGACTCAACGTTTATTTTAAAATAAACTAATTGTTTTTTATTTTATTAACTTTTAGGACCTGTAAAAACATTTATTATTAGGCCCAGTGATCGAGCCTATAAACAGGATCGATCCTAGGCCTAATAAATGGCCGCGGAACCCACGTTATGCTCCAACAAGTTATATAAATTAAATAAATTCAACAGTCAGACATTTAATCACTAGAAAAATATTTGCAAAAAACTATGAATTAAGTCATCTTCAATAAATCTGCTAAATTTAACTAATAAAAAAAAGCGCATGAAATTAAATTTTACTTCGTCAACTTGCACAAAATTGTGCAAATCATCAAAAAAAATATTCAAAACGAAAACAAAAAAATAAATAAAAGTAATATTTAATAATTGCCCAAATTATTACTATTTTGTTGATAAAACAAGTGCATAAATTGAACTTATTATACTTTTGGTGGCCGGTTGGTTATATGCTATAACGTTTACGGCAAATGTTCAAACAAACTGCACGAAATTCGCCAACTTACCCTTTTAGAAAAATTATTTTTGAAACCAAAATTTTTTTTGTCGCAAAAAATTTGAAACTACTTTTTCTTTTACATAAAATTACAAAGTAAAACTCTAGAAAACACACTTTAAAAAATAAACAAAGTTATCAATGCCAGAAAACAAACTTTAAATAAACCATTGAGGCAAATTTGCTCATTTGAGTTTTTTTAATAAAAATAAATATCTACCATAAATCGCTAACCTAACTCAATTTGTTAAAAACTTATCTTAAACATGAATTTATCAAAAACTTATCTTAAACATATAAAAAGCTTCAAAGTAATTGGTAACTAAATAAATCTAATACTAAATTTGTTTTTTGACAACATGGTATTTTTCCAATTATTGTGAAACCAAACTCTTGATAAGTCCTTAAAAACAAGAGTAATTAAAACTGATGTATAAGATTACTTTCAAATTTTCTTTTGCTGAAGATGCAATAATTAAAAATATTAAAATCAAAATCTTGAAACAAAAAATCGATGAAAATTCTATTCTTTAATTTAAAGAATCTTCATCAATAATAAATTGGATAAATGTATAGAAAGCGTGTAATCTTGGACACTTCCGCTTTGAACCGACTTATTGACATCTTTCTTAAATATTATAACAAACATTTCCTAACAAGAAATAGAAATTAAAACAAAATATTTAAAACGTTCGTGGATTACAAGCAGAATAAGAAAATCTTCAAAAAAAAAAAAAAATAAAGCAAAAATTATACATCAAATATTTAAAAAACAGAAACAAAGCTAATCCTAATGTTTATAAAGAATATAAAAACCTATTTAAAAAAAAATAAATAACTAATCTAAAAAAGTCTTTTATTCTGAACAATTGCAAAAAAAATAATGGGAGTATAAAGAAAAAGTGGGAAATTGCCAGAAAAATTATTGGTGAAAAAAATTTTTTTTAGACATTTTACACTCCAAAATAATGGAAAGCAATATTGAGTATCTTTGTACTCAATATTGATAAATAATAAGATATATCAAAAATATTCAATCATTTTTCTTTGTAAACGCTTTTCTAAGCTTGACTTCAAAAATAAATAACTCAGAAAAACCATATGAAAATAATTTTAGTGTCGTTTAGTAACCTTTAATAACGTTTAGTGACTTTGAGTGTTCATTACTAGATAGTAATTTAAATTTAGATGAACTAGAAACTATAAACAACAATCAAATCAATTAAAAAGAACAAAGCTCCATTTATTCACGACATTTCTAGCAATGTTGTACTTTGTGTTTTACTTGCAATAAAAAAGCTTAAATAATTTTCTCTTAAATCAAATAAGGGGTTGTAGGAGATAAATTAAAGCAAATATTTCTATTTAAAGATACATCTATTCTAAGTAATTATAGGCCAATCTCAAGTCTTTCTATATTTTATAAACTCGTTGAAAGAGTAATTTACAACAGATTGTATAAATATTTAATATTTACAGTATTTACAACATATTGTATAAATATTTAACAATTACAAAATTTTCAACAGATTGTATAAATATATAATAGAACAAAAAAGTCTTAGGTGACAATACGGATTTCAAATTCAACATTCAATGGAACATGCTACTCTAGATTTCATCAACAATCTCAGCACTTCCCTCGATGATGAAAATTTGAATTAGGAGTCCTTATTGATCTGACAAAGGCATACAACTCAGTAGACCACGCAATGATATGGAAATTTTCTAATATTTTATGATTAATTAAAAGATCAAAACTATGTCATCTAAATCTAAAATTTTAACATAAAAGCATCTATGCCTTTTTTTTTTTCATATCTTCACTTCCAACAAGAAAGCGTTATAAAGATAAAGAATAGAATCCTAAGTAAGAAAGTAGTGAGCACGTGATTGTAATGATTGTTACACAAAAGAGTTCAGAATAGCAATTAGCGATTGCAAAACAAGCAACTTCCTTTTGCGAATTGCACAAAAACTTATAACGAAAGTATTCCCTTGAGAGAATTCCGCACGAGGAATTCTCGCTTAAAAGCCAGTGCGCTGAATTAAATTTTAGTAGTTGAAGTTTCGACGTGAAACTATACAGAGTTTTATATTTAAACTAGTTGTGATAATTTAATATGGAAGTAATGAAATAAAAATAAAAATCATAGTCAAATTCTCTTTATAATAAATATAAAGACAAAACATTACAGTGATGCAACCTTATAAGATGCTAATTTTGCAATCAATTTGATATATGGAAAGAAGGATTGAAAGTAAGAGTTAATCCAAGAAGATGAAGGGTAGATCAAGTACATTACGGTTTTTAAATATAGGAAGATCTAGATTGTTGTGATAACAATTAGCTAGAAAAAATGAGGTTTTATCAGAGTTAAATTTTCACCTGCCACTGAGAGCCTCATGCTGTAGCAGAAATGAGACCCTTTTCAAGCTCAAATGCCCCCCCCTTCCTCCAAGCAATCAGAGAGTGTTTGGTTCTTATAAGAAAAAAATAAATGGTAGAATCATCAGCGAACGATGACACCTTAGTTGTAAGAATTTCTGGTAAATCGTTAATGTAAATGAAAAAAAGGCCAAGAAAATTGAGAAAACCAGCATGCCAAACTTTGTCAGAAGCTTTAGAAATGTTGAGAGCGATAACTTTACCCTATCCACATTTATTTAATTCACGATAAAACCTATCAGTTATTACCGTTAACAAATCAGCAGTAGAACGAGAAGATCGAAATCCATATTGATACTTAGAAAGTAAGTTATTAGATTTAGATTAAGTGTTTGTTAATTAAAGACTCAAA